AGTGAGGCAGGCGACCACAGCTAGGAGCTCCTTATCATGGATCTCATAGTTCTTCTCGGCAGAAGACATCTTCCTAGAGTAGAAGGCCACTGGATGCCATCGTCCTTCATGCTCCTGCTTGAGTACTCCTGCTATAGCAAAGTCACTTGCATCAGTCTCCAACCTTGTTGGAAGGTGGTAGTCGAAGTGCTGAAGCACTCCTGCTGATGTGAAGGCCTGGATGAGCTTGTGGAAGGCCTGTTGGGCCTCCTCTGGTAGCTCGAACTTCTTGAACCGTTCTATAGGCTTTACCAGTGCTGTCAAGGGCTTGGCTATGCGAGCAAAGTGGGCTATGAACCTTCGATAGAAGTTGGCAAAACCCAGGAACCTCTGGATGTCATGGATTGACTCTGGCATTGGCCACTCCTTGACAGTGCGCACCTTTTCTGGGTCCATCTCTATGCCCGTTGGCTTGATGATGTACCCCAGGAACTCGACTGTCTTGGTGTGGAACTCACACTTCGACAGCTTAGCAAAGAGCCTGTTGCTCCTTAAGCGAATGAGGACCTCGGTGACATGCTTCACATGTACCTCTTCAGTGTCACTGAAGATCAGGAAGTCATCTAAGTATACCACTACATATACTCCAATGATGTCTCGGAAGATGTCATTGATGAATGACTGGAAGTGAGCCGGAGCATTGGCTAGGCCAAAGGGCATCACTAGGTACTCATAGAGTCCCAACTGAGTGCCAAAAGCTGTCTTCCATTCATCTCCTTTAGCAATCCGGATGAGGTTGTATGCTGCTCTAAGGTCTAGCTTGGTATAGATCCTTGCCTTCCTGAGTAAGAACAGCTGCTCCTCGATGAGGGGCAATGGTGCCCTGTTCTTGACAGTGATCTCGTTGAGACCTCTGTAGTCCACACAGAGTCTGAGACCTCCATCCTTCTTTGGTACGAAGAGCACTGGTGATCGTGCCGGGCTCTTCGATGGTCTTATGAACCCCTTCTCGAGGTTCTCATCCAAGTACCTCCTCAACTCGGACATCTCCTTGGGTCCCTTAAGGTATAGGGGCCCTTGAGGTGGCTTCCCTCCTTCTATCAACTCGAGATGGAGATCATGCTCGGTATGATGGGGCAGCTTGTCTGCTTCCACCTCATCAAACACATCTCGCAGGTGTTGGTATGGCTTTGGTATGTCTGCAGCCGTCACCACCTTATCTTCCTCCACCTCCATCTCGACTCCTTTGTCTGCGCCTGTAGGTACAAAACCAAAGGCTGGGAGTGATGATGGTGGCTCCTCTAACAGCATGAACCCTATGGGTCCATCTTCCAGAGCTGCTCGTAGTATGCGCTCTGCTGAGACAAACTCGTTACCATGAAGGGTTGGTCCCCTCATGGTTAGGTCCCTTGCTCTTGCTGCTTCAGGGGGTCTCCTAGGGGGTCGGTCCTGCTCCTGAGTCTTGAACTCCAGCTGGCCCGTATCCCATTGTATGGTGGGTTTGAGCCTCCGTAGCTCAGTGAACCCCAGGATGAGGTCATAGTCTGCAGTGTCGGCCACTGAAGCTTCGACCACACCCAGATTGTGTGTACCAATAGATACCTGCATGCTCGCAGAACTATTGATGGAGAGTTGGTGCCCGGTGACACCATGGATCGATCTTGTTTTTATGGGTTTTGTGGGTATTTGGTACTTACTAATGAAAGAATCTGAGACTATGGACAAACCAGCACCGGTATCAGCTAGTATCCGAGCAGGATGGTCTTGAACCATTCCAGAGAGCTCCAGTACTGCTTTGCCTCCACTGGTAGAGAAACATACTTGACAATCTTGATATATACAGAGTGATGGCGAGGAGGTTTGTAGAGCAATGCATGCCATCAGTGCATCACCCCACTGACGTTTCCCTCGTCGTCATCATCATCGTGCTCCTCCTCGTGATCGGGGTCCATGGGTTGCTGGTATGAGCTGAGGTCCATGGCCTCGGGGTCACCTGTCTCAGTGCTGCCTGTGTGGCCATCTCCTGAGTCGGTGGCCTCCTCGAAGGGGTCTGCTGTGGTGACCATAACCTTTGGTCCCATGGGTCGAGAGCTAAGAGGGTTTACCCTCCTGCTGGGGCAGTCTCTGGCCCAATGGCCGATACCCTTGCATACATGACAGGTGTTGATACCTGATGGAGCAGGGCTTCCTTGCTTCGAGGGTTGGGTGGGATGATGAGGAAGGGGTCGGTTTAGGTTTTGTATAGTTGCTTGTGTAGTTGCTTGTGATGGTGATCGAGCTGGATAAGTTTGAGTGGGTTGTCGGATGGGGATCGAACTTTGATTTGGCCGAGACCCAGTTCTTAGTGGAGGTGATGTGGTGTTTGGGAGTGAGTGTCTAGCCGAGGACTGCTGTAGTAGCATCCTCTGTCGATCGATCTCCTCAACCTCTCGATACCACTCCCATCTCTTCCCAGGTGGATTCCTCTCGAACTTCTCCTGTATGCTACGAGTGAGACTACCTCTGAAGAGATCAATCACTAGCTCATTGTCATCTAGGTTGACCTGTCCTTCCAAGTCTCTGAACCGCTCTACATGACGTGTGGCAGCACCAGGAGCATCACTTGTGAGTCTGAGAGCCAACAGCTTGTTGTATGCCTCCATCCTAGCATTGCGTGGGTTGAACTGCTCTGACAGTCGCTCTGTGAAGTAGTGCCAATCATTGAACAACCTTCCTTCTCTAGCTCTATCAATACGGAGCTTGGAGGTCCACCACTCTCTTGCTGTCCCTTCCAGTTGAGCACCCATGTGATTGATCATCCTAGACTGCTCATACACCTGGTTGAACTTAAACCATGCTTCGGCTTCTAGAATGAAGATCTCCATGTCTCGGGGATTGAACTTTGGAAAGGGGGTGGCAATGGGCTTTGACCGGTTAAGCTCTGCCATGATGCTGGTATCCTCCTCGTGGTCCAGGGGGTAAGGATCCGTCCTAGTCCTGCTGTAGGGGTCCAGCTTAGTCTTGACATATCTTGGCCCAGTAGGTGAAGCATACTTCTCGTAGTTGATGTCCTCCTGCTCATCCAGGTTGAATGAGACTGATCGTCTTGGTCGTGGAGCTGGAGTAGGAGTATGTGGGTCTCCTATCATAGACTCATCTCCTCCTCCTGCTTGGTCTTCTGAGTGAGAGAGGTCCATTGTCTCCTCCCTACCCAGCTGAGCTCGTTGTAGTCGTTCCTCTCGATGACCCTGCCTAGTAAGCTCTAGCTGAGCTTCCAATAGAGTGAGTAGTCTATCGAGCTTATTGTTGAGGTCTGGGTCCGTCATGGTGATCGTGAGGAGCTGCTTGAATGATCCACTCTAATGTCAGGGGTCTCGCGCCTGAAACCCAGGTCGGTCTGTCGAGATACTCGGTGACTATCAAACTGTGTGACAGCTATTGTCTCGAGATACTCGGTGACTATCAAGTTGTGCAGTGACAGCAGGTGGCGTTTGTTGTGTATACTATCGTAGGTTTCGGCTGACCTCTGTGGACACTCCGTTCAGGGGTAGCTCGGCACGATCAATATCAATGTTATGATGACACCAAGGTCTGGTGTGAGTGTTGATGATGATGAGGTTGATGGTGTTGGTGATGGGATTGGTGATGTCGATGATAATGAGGTTGATGGTGTTGGTGATAAGGTTGGTGGCGTCAACACGAGTGTCCAGTGTGTTGACTTGATGCTCGAAGTGATCCCCGGACCGCAGTGGACTACTGCCTTCGGTTCTATCTATATCCGGACCGCTAACCTGCTATGGGCGCCTTCGGACGTCAGGTAGTGGTGATACAACACACACACTACGATGAGGAGCAACCTTGATAGATTGCTGCTATGCTGACTGTAACTAATGAGTACTTGTGTTTCTAAAGTATTGACTAGTTGTATGGTGAGTAGAGTGGATGGGGATCCACTCGACCTATGATGATGAGAAAGCATGGTTATATACCTCTTCACAGCATTGCCAGCGATGCTGCTCCTGCTCTCTCTCCAGAGAGTACCTTCTTCATCGAGTACTGCTCAGGGCCTCTCCTGCTTGGCACCCCTGTGCCTCTTGTCGACACTGCTCCTCCTCCTCATGACCTGGTGTCGACTCCTTCGACACTGCTCCTCCTCCTTTGATCAGTGACAGTTCCTTTGGCTCTTGTCTCTCGAGCCCCTGAGTGGTAACCATCTGCATGCTCCTTGAGCTTGGTCCTCTTCGTGGCTGTGCTTGGCCCTCCTTTGCATGTGAGTCCATAGGAGTCCATGGTCTCCATGGAGACTGCACTACGACCATGCTTTCTACTGGTGTCGACTAGGTCTTCGATACCTGTGCTCCTTCCATATGAACCCATGACCCTCCTGCTTCTTGAGCATCCAGGCCCATGACAATAGTCACCGATACCGAGACAATAGCTGTCGCACAGTTTGATAGTCACCGAGTATCTCAACAGACCGACCTGGGTTTCAGGCGCGAGACCCCTGACACCTTGCTCTATTGGTCACTTCATTCTTGGTTTCTCGTGTGAGTGAGAAAGACCACCACTTCCCACTTTTATTGTGAAAAATGTCATACTGCCACTTCAACTACTGATTTCCGCGAAATCTGTAATAGCGCCTCCTCTCTCACAGATTTCACCCAATTTGGTTACAACCCCCTTCTTACTGCTTCTGCCTTTTCCTTTTTCCTTGTGCTTGTCTAGTCTTGTCCCCCCACCGACACCTCATACTCCTGGATGAGGTCAGGGCAGTTGAGGTTCAACACCTGTTCCCAAGAGGCAGCTTCCTCTGGGTACCCCCTCCAAAGCACCTTGTACTCTATCATTTGAGCTCATATGCATTTCCTGATGAGGGCCTTGACTTCAAATTCAAGCTCCTCATCTGGAAGTTGTGGTATGGTTGGCTGTGCAGACCATTGTGGAAGGGAGCTGTTCTTTGCTGGTTCAAGCAAAGACACATGAAACACATCATGAACTCTGAGGTTTGCTGGCAATGTGATATGATAAGCTCAGTGGCCCACTCATTCCTGGACCGGGTAAGGTCCTGCAAACCAGGTATCCAGTTTTGGTGTGGGTTGCCTCATCTTCCAGTTCCAGTGATTGATATAAACCATATCGCTGACGTTGAATTCAATGTCCTTGTGCTTCCAGTTGTAATGGTCCACTGTCCAATGTTGTGCCTCTCTGATCTGCTCTTGGAGGTACTTGCAGCACTCCTTGCCATCAACTAAGTACTCAAAATGACCAGGATCATTTACTCCTAGTTGCTGAGGTATGTCTGGATGGGCTTTGGGGTTCCATCCATAACATGCAAAGAATGGTGAGACACCAATGCTATTGTGAACTGTGTTGTTGTACACAAACACTGCAGTGTTGAGCAAGTTGGCCCAGTCATTCTGTTCATAGTTGCAGTACATCTGTAAGTACTGCTCCATGACCTGATTGACTCTCTCCATCTGTCCATCAGTTTGAGGATGATAAGCCATACTGAGTGAATGTTTCATGCCCATTTGCTCCATGAATGCCTTCCATGCTCCTGAGATGAACTGTCTTCCTCGATCCAAGACCATGTGATCTGGATAGCTGAAGTGTCTGACTAGATGACCCCATAGCAATACAGCAGTCTGTTTTGCTGTGACCGTTTTGTGAGTAGGGGCCAGAATAGCAAACTTGGTCAATCTGTCGATGATGACCAAGATGGAGTCATACCCCTTCGAGGGTGGTAATCCTTTAATGAAATCCAGGGATATGGAGCCCCATGGCCTGTCTGGTGTGGTGAGCAGTTGCAGCAAGCCATACAGACAATGATGAGGGGCTTTGTATCTAGCACATACAGGACAGCTGGCTACATAGTTGGCAATCCAGGCTGTCATGTTTGGCCACCAATAGTGCTGTTGGGCTGCCTTAATGGTGGCATCTCACCCCACATGTCCAGCTGTGATGCCATCATGACATTGGGACATCACCATGAATTGCAAGTGCTCCACAGACAGGGATTGTCCATCTACTTCTTTTGCACTTCGTGAGCAACAGTCATTGGTCTTCCCTGGCATGGTCACCTTGGGGATAACCAATCTACTGCCACTATACCATAAGTCATCCTTGATCTCAAACAGCTTCCTCAAATGTATCTCCCACAGCTCAGTGTCCAGGGGCTGGAAGATCTTGACCAGGTCTTTGAGCCCTTTCGTTGCTATGGACTCCATTGTGAGCATAGGGGCCACTAATGTAGAATCATCACCTGAGCATGCTGTTAGGACCGATTCTGCTGAAATCAGTAGTATCATGCTCATTATTACATTTTCTGCTGAAATTTGCTGTAACTCATTTCCTATAGTGATTTTGTTTTTGACTTTTTCAAACACTTGGGAAGGCAGCAGTTGCCACACATTGTGTTCCTGCTCTTCACCAACTGGTTGCATATCAACTTGTCTGGTGAGAGCATTGGGTTCGCTACCCTTGTCCCCTGGTCAATACTGTAGTACAAAGTCGAAATCTGCTAACAGCACTGCCCATCGAGCTTGTCGCCCTGTGATGTGATGCTGCGACTTGAAGTACTTGAGTACCTCATGGTCTGTGAGGATAACCAATTGACTGGGTAACCCTGCAAGCATGTGTTGCCACTGGGTGAGACATGCTACTACTGCCAGGAGTTCTTTGTCATGAATCTCATAGTTCTTCTCAGCAGAGGACATCTTTCTGGAATAGAATGCTACTGGGTGCCAGTGCCCTTCATGCTCTTGTTTGAGCACCCCAGTGATGGCAAAGTCACTTGCATCTGTTTCTAACCTTGTTGGGAGATGGTAATTGAAATGCTGAAGCACTCCAGCTGTCATGAATGCTTGAATGAGCTTGTGGAAAGCTTGCTGGGCTTCTTCCAGCAACTCAACTTCTTGAAACATTCTGTCAGTTTCACCAGTGAGGTTAGGGGTTTGGTGATTCAAGCAAAGTGGGCTATGAATCACTGGTAGAAGTTGGTGAAGCCTAGGAATCATTGGATATCATGGATAGATTCCAGCATTGGCCACTCCTTGACCATCTGTACCTTCTTGGGGTCCATTTCTACCCCAGTGGGCTTGATGATGTACCCCAGGAATTTGACAGTGGTGGTGTGGAACTCACACTTAGACAGCTTGGTGAACAGTCAATTGCTTCTCAGCTGGGTGAGAACTTCTGTGACATGTCTCACATGTGCCTCTTCAGTGTCACTGAAGATCAGAAAGTCATCCAAGTACACAACAACATACACTCCAATGATGTCTTGGAAGATGTTGTTGATGAATGATTGGAAGTGGGCCAGTGCATTAGCCAGGCCAAATGGCATCACTAGGTACTCATAAAGTCCCAGTTGTGTGCTGAAGGCTGTCTTCCATTCATCCCCTTTCATGATATGGATGAGGTTGTATGCTGCTCATAGATCTAGTTTGGAATAGATCTTTGCCTTTTGGAGCAGGAAGAGCTGCTCCTCAATGAGGGGCAATGGCACCTGGTTCTTGATGGTGATCTCATTCAGTCCACGATAGTCCATGCAGAGTCTGAGACCTCCATCCTTCTTTGGCACAAAGAGCACTGGTGATCTTGCTGGGCTCTTCGACAGTTGTATGAACCCCTTTGCAAGGTTCTCATCCAAGTACTTCCTCAACTCAGACATCTCCTTGGGCCCTTTAAGGTACAATGGGCCCTGGGGCAGCTTACTTCCTTCCATCAACTTGAGATGGAGATCATGCTTGGTATGATGGGGCAGCTTATCTGCTTCCACCTCATCAAACACAACTTGCAAATGTTGATATGGCTTTGGTATATCTGCAGTTGTTACCTTCTTATCAACCTCAACTTCCATTTTGACTCCTTTATCAGTGCTGGTAGGAACAAAACCAAAGGCTGGGAGTGATGAGGGTGATACTTCCAACAACATGAACCCTATGGGTCTGTCCTCGAGGGCTGCCTGTAGTAGGTGTTCTGCTGAGATGAACTCATTTCCATGTATGGTTGGCTGCTTCAGTTTCTCATCATAGGAGCCTGCTACCACTGATTTTGCTGAATTTGGTAATAGGCTGTCTCTTGTGGTGAGCTTATTTTTTAACTTGCTAGTTACAGCAGTTTTCACTGAATTTGGTGATAGATTGCCTTCTATGACAGATTCTGCTGATTTTGTGTGTAAACCCCCAGTTATGGCTGCTTCGGGGGGTCACTCCTGTTCCTGGGTCTTGAACTCCAGTTGGCCTGTATCCCATTGTATGGTTGGTTTGAGCCTCCTTAGCTTGGTGAATCCCAAGATAAGGTCATAGTCAGCCATGTTGGCTACCAAGACTTCAACTACTCCTAGGCTGTACTTGCCAATAACAACTTGTATGTTTGCAGTGCTATTGATAATGAGCTGGTGTCCAGTGACACCATGTATCAATCTTGTTTTTGTGGGTTTTGTGGGTATTTGGTACTTACTAATGAAAGAATCTGAGACTATAGACAAACCAGCACCAGTGTTGGCCAGTATTTGAGCCAGATGGTCTTGGACCATCCCAGAGAGCTCTAATACTGCTTTCCCTCTGCTGGTAGAGAAACATATTTGGCAATCTTGATATATACATAACGATGGTGAAGAGGTTTGTAGAGCCATGCATGCCATCAGTTCATCACCCCACTGTCATTTCCCTCATCATCATCATCTTGGACCTCTTCATGGTTGGTGTCCATGGGTGGCTGGTACTGGCTGAAGTCTAGTCCCTCAGGTTCGCCCATCTCAGGGCTGCCCATGTGCCCATCTCCTGAGTCTGTGGCCCCCTCTTCGAAAGGGTCTTCTGTGGTTACCATGACCTTGGGACCCATGGGCCATGGGCCCAGAGAGTCTACCTTCTTGCTTGGGCAGTCTCTGGCCCAATGTCTGATGCCTTTGCACAGATGGCAAGTGCTGCTATTTGCTAGTGCAGGGCTGCCTTGCCTCTGGCCTTGAATGAGCTGATGAGGCAGGAGATGATTGGTTGGCCAGCTAGGGTTTCCCATATTTGTTTGTGCTGGTGGGCGAGCTGGATAAGTTTGTGCTGGTTGTCAAGCTGGAAACGAACCTTGAGCAGGTAGGTGGCATAGACTGGGTTCCTGGGTTTGGTTGCAACAGAGTGGCATTTGGGTGCCTAGCAGAGGACTGCTGTAACAGCATCCTCTGCCTGTCGATCTCTTCAACTTCTCGATACCATTCCCACCTTTTCACAGGTGGGTTCTGTTCAAACTTTTCTTGTAGGCTGCATGTGAGGCTGCCTTGGAACAAGTCTATGACCAGCTCATTGTCATCTAGGTTCACCTGTCCTTCCAAGTCTCTGAAATGCTCAATGTGGCATGTGGCAGCACCTGGTACATCACTAGTGAGCCAGAGAGCCAACAGTTTGTTGTAGGCCTCCATCCTAGCATTCTGGGGGTTGAACTGCTCTGACAGACACTCTGTGAAGTAGTGCCAGTTGTTGAACAATCTCCCTTCTCGTGCCCTATCGATTTGGAGCTTCAAGGTCCACCATTCATGTGCATTCCCTTCCAATTGAGCACCCATGTGATTGATCATCCTTGCTTGTGTCAGGGGTCTCGCGCCTGAAACCCAGGTCGGTCTGTCGAGATACTCAGTGACTATCAAACTGTGCGACAGCTATTGTCTCGGTATCGATCTTGATGAGCTTATCACTTGGCGACTATCAAGTTGCGCAATGGGTGGTGTTCGTGTATATACTATCATAGGTTTCGGCTGACCTCTGTGGACACTCTGTTCAGGGGTAGCTCGGCACGATCAATATCAATGCTTCGGTTATGATGACACCAAGGTCTGGTGTGAGTGTTGATGATGATGAGGTTGATGGTGTTGGTGATAAGGTTGGTGGCATTGGTGATAAGGTTGGTGGCATCAACATGAGTGTCCAGTGTGTTGACTGATGCTTGAGGTGATCCCCAGACCACAGTGGACTACTGCCTTCGGTTCTATCTATATCCAGACCACTAACCTGCTATGGGGCGCCTTTGGACATCAGGTAGTGGTGATACAACACACACACTACGATGAGGAGCAACCTTGATAGATTGCTGCTATGCTGACTGAAACTAATATATACTTATGCTGAAGTGATAACTAGTTATGGTGAGTAGAGTGGATGAGGATCCACCTGACCTATGATGATGAGAAAGCATGGTTATATACCCCTTCACAGCATCGCCAGCGACGCTGCTCCTGCTCTCTCTCTCCAGAGAGTACCTTCTTCATCGAGTACAGTACAGGGGGCCCCTCTAGCACCACTCCTGTCCTCCTTGAGCTATTGACTCCTTCGACACTGCTCCTCCTCCTTGCTATCCTGCTTGCTTGGCACCCTTGTGCCTCTTGAGCTGTGTCGACTCCTTCGACACTGCTCCTCCTCCTCAGGACCTGCTTGCCAGTTCCCTATACACTGCTCCTTCTCCTTTGACCAGTGACAGTTCCTTTGACCCTTGTCTCTCGAGCCCCTGAGTGGTAACCATCTGCATGCTCCTTGAGCTTGGTCCTCCTCATGGCTGTGCCTGGCCTTCCTCACATATGGCTTGGTCCTCCTTTGCATGTGAGTCTGTAGGAGTCCATGGTCTCCATGGAGACTGCACTATGACCATGCTCTCTCCTGATATCGACTAGATCCTCAATACCTATGCTCCTTCCATATGAACCAGTGACCCTCCTGCTTCTTGAGCATTCAGGCCCATGACAAATCCCTCAATTCCTGCACTCCCTTCATATGAATTGACAGATCTTCCTGCTTCCTGCGCATCCAGGCCCATGACACCATCCTCCTGGCCCTGAGCTCATCGTCAGGTCGGCCCCCTGCTTCATCAGGGTGGCAACCCCAATGTCCCTGACATCTGTCTTGCCATGAGGTTTGTGAGATTGGCATCCCCTGTGAGATCTGTCTTACAATTGCAATACTACCAATTCCAGTGGCCTTTGCTGTAAACTCCTGCTCATACTGATTTGGTCAGAATCTGTCATAGAGCCTTTTCTACTACAGATCTCAATGAACTTTGCCTTAGAGTCTTGCTTAGCCCAATCCTGCGATTCCTGCACTCCTCTTCATATGACTTTGGATCTTCCTGCTTCCTGCGCATCCGGTCCCATGACAGGGAGTTCCTAGTGGTTTCGCTGCCTAAGCCATTTTCGATCTTCTTCCAGACCTGATTGAAGGTGAGGTACTCTCTGATGATGTCAAGTAGGAGATAGTTGACATTGTACTCTCCTACCATATCAATGGTTCCTCACACAGTGTTGGTGGTCAAGGCATTGTTGATGGATCATCTCCATCTCGGATGGTTATCATTGTAAGTTCCTTTGAGGTGTTCTATGGCATGGGGCACAGATCAGAGGAAGGGCTTGATGTGAGTGCTCCAGCTGTAGTAGTTTTGCAAGGTAAGTTTTGGCACCAGTTCAAGAAGCTTTGCTAGGGTGTGGAAGTTGTATTGCCTATCATCATCATCAAGATCAGTGTTGGACTCTTCATCAGCCTCATTGTTGTCATTGGCTGCACTGTTGACTGGTGTTTGTCAAATGGTTATGACCTTTCTTCCTCTTTTCGACCTCTTGGTGATGTCGCTAGCACCAGCTTGGGGTTTGGCTTCTTCCACCATGGTTGGTTTGGGTGTAGCTTCAGACTCTTAATCAGTTGAAGTTATGCAAGACACTGCTTTGTCTGGGCTATGTTCTAGCTCCTTTCACACAGGTGTATGGTAGATGCAATGCTTGAGATTTCATGTTAACTATGACTACTAGACTGCCTGTATATAAACCTTTGTTCCATCCATGAGAAGCCTTATTGTCACCCCACTAATTGAATGCACCATGTGTTGCCTCGGCATTGTCTCCCACAAACATCTCCTGATTGGTTGCCACATGTTGACCATGCATGCACATCCCTTGGTCTCTCGGTGACTCGGCTTTCTTGTGTGTTGGTTAAATTCCTGGTAATTCCGTCGCATCTTTAACTCAACACCAACGTCGAGTCGTGTTATTTTAGTCGGTTTAGTTTCAGTTTCGTTTCGTGCGATTGAGTCCAGACGGGAGGGCCAAATTCGGCAACGGCAATTCACTTTCTTCCAAAGTTGGACCCTGAAAAAGCAGCTTAAAAAAGCGTGTGATGCGCGCATGGGTGGCAACGTCAGAAGCGGCGGAACGAACAAAGCCTCGTTAACCCTTTCCTTTTGTTCAATCGCCCCAATCTCACCGCTTTCTTCTTTCCTTAAGATTTCTTCCATCACCTTTACCTGCATCACTCACCACCCAAACCTCCGCTCGCCTCGCAATGGCCCCGAGCACGCGCTTGATATGTGCTTGTCGCCGCCATGGGCTGACTCAAGTAGGACCTAGTTCAAGAAAGGTTGTTACTACCGCACGGATACCTTCTGCAAAATCGTCTCCCACACACCAAACCGAAGGCGAAAGCGGTCTGACCGGCTCAGAAAAGCTGCTACAAGATGCCATTCGACTAGAAAAACAAGAAGAACAACTCCTCTCACAACGAAATAAAGCGCAAGATCCAAACGATCCAATATGGACAGGAGAAGAAAGAGTGCAAGATACAGTCCTACGGATGGTTATGGATAAATACAAGCCTTTACGACTTCCGAGTTCGAATCCGCATGCTGATCCTGCGGATGAAAAGATTCGGAGTGGGATCCAAACACCCTCTACCCCCTCCCCCCCTTTTCCTCCATCCGGAGCTTCTGGCTTTAGCCGAACGGCGACCGACTCTTTGGTAGCTGAGTCAGCTATCGGGTCATTCGTTTCCCCAGCGTACAACGGCGAGCACGAGGACGGTCGAAAACTCCCCAAAACGCCCGACCAGAAACCTTGGCGAGCAGTATACGTTCGACCCCCATCCTCTATCTTGGGAGCAGAAGAAGGTTTCACCCCCAGCATCTACTATGGGCAATTTCTAAAATCTCATTCCTCCTCCTCCTCCTCCCCCACCAACCCTGCTTCCGACATCCGGTCTAAACTCAAAGCCGCAGGTCTCAACCCCTCCTCCCTCCCTCTCGACGATCCAAAGGCTATGAGCAAGCTTCGTTCTGGAATCAAAACGTTCGAACGCCAGGGAAAACTCGTCCGAGCCCGCGATTCCGTTTTGGATTACCAGTTATCCCAATCCTCCCCCTCCGTCTCCTCCTCCACCGCTGGAGAGGGTAAAGGAGACGGACTCAGCGATGTCAACCAAAACCTGCAACTTCAATTAGGACATGCGCAAGGGTGGGACAGTGTAGTGGAAAAAAGAATCAAAGCTGCTTACGAGGCCGGGTTGTTTCGAGAGAATAAACTTCGAGGACAACCGTTGAAGAGGGACATGGACGACAAAAATCCCTTCCTGGCGAGGGAGGAGTATTTTATGAATAGAATAGTCAAGAGACAAGGTGCAGCTCCGCCTTGGGTAGGGTTGAATATGGAATTGGAGACGGAATTGGCGAGTTGGAGGGATAGATTGGTCGATGCTTGGGTTAGGAGGGCGAGTCGGATGATTACTACTTCTTCTACTTTGTCCGCCGGTTTAAAACCGTTGGAAGGGGAAGTGGGGGAGGGGGGAAAAGAGGGGTTGAAAGATGGTGAAAGGGCTCTGTTAGACACGGCTAGAAGGTATAGAGATGAAGAATGGGAACAAAGAGAAAGGTCTTTTCACCAACACGAATTGAAGAGGCTCAACGAGTTGATTAGGAGACATAACCATTTGGCGCCTTTTACGGCGAGGAAAGGGTTGTTGGTGTTGGATGTTGAGTTGGGGAGTATATATGATAGGGCCGTGCCGAGATTGGTGCAGGAGATCTCTTCTATTCTTCGACAGAAGCTCGATCCAGGGAGTGGAGGGACGAAGGATGGGTGGGACGAGCATCTGAAGAGAGAAAGAGAAGGGGGAAAAGGGGGTGTGACAACGTATGATATGTGGGGTAGAGAAGTCACGTCTCGACAACAGCAAAGGGAGGGAGAGAAGGGGAGCTTGCATGGTTGGTGGGGTAACGCAGTTGGAAGCAGGAGTGATGCCAAGTACGGTGAGCAAGCTAGTGGGAATGCGCGAGAAGAAGGAGGAGGAAGAGATGAGCGAGTGCCAAGTCTAGGGTTGCTGGCTGCTATTCAGAAGAGTTTGCAGTGGGCGAGGGAGCGGATCGGTGCCTAAATCCCAGTTGGGCGTGAATGGAAGCTTTGTTCCGCTCTTCCGCACTCCATGTTTGAATGTGTTCTGCGCTGACTGGGATGCTGTGGCTTTGTGTTGCTGCTTTGCTGAAATGGTCTGGGTGTTGTGAAGCGGCAGGATGAGGTTTTGCTCGACCGGGGTTGTGCGCAAAGAGTCGTCGTAGAATGTCTTTTCTTCACCGCTACGGAAAAGGTCGCCGAATGCTGTTCTCCGCTATCGCTGTATCTCACACTGCTCCAAACTTTCCGCACCCATCACACACTATCACAGCCAGCAGTTGCGAAAATGACAATGACTTTTTCGATTTGCTGCTACCGATCTACAACATCTTATGCTCTCCAAAGCAAAAACGCCATCTGACCCAAGTCTGCCCATCCCCACCGTAACAACACCAAACGGAGACAAAGCTGTTGTCAGTGCATCTTTCCTCTCTTCCCTCACCAACTTTGAAAGCAGAGGCTCTTTCCCAGCTTGTGGACGATCTTGACTTACAAAAGTAGATAAAGTGCTTAGTCTCATGCGTAACGTAACTTCCGTATCTCTGTCCTACCACGGCATGCCAGGTGGGGCCGAACTTGGAATCCATCGTACGCTTTACATGGCCTGCCATGTCCTTTTCGACGGTGAACTTTTCGAGAGCGTCGTAAGCGATTTCGATGGTTTCGGATTGCATTTCTTCCGACATGTCGACGTTTTTGATGACTGGTTTCAGGTCGCGGATGCTAGAAGGGTCTGCGCCGGACGGGTGGGAGGAGCTACCGGTGGCTGCAGCTGGAGGGGAGGTGATCTGATCGGACATCTTGATGAGATTAAAGTGGATGAGGGTGATGTGAGGGGAGGATGATGTGAGGGGAGGAGCTGGAAAGCAAAGGTGGAGAATTGAGCGAGAGCAACACTTTCTGGGACGCGTCTAGAACAATCAAAACTATTCTCGTGCGAGAAAAGTGGGAAGGGATTCAGATGCAAGTTGCTGCACGGATAAAGACCCTGAATTGCCACCCCGCACAGCCTTGCACCAACACTACAACCATCATCATCAAGAAGGAGGGTTAGGGAAGGATGATACTTAGGCCTTCACCAGGCCGTCTTCGGGCGATGGCGAGGAGTGCTGGTCGACACGCTCCGCCGCGCCCCTCAAACACCATCAGACCTTCAGTACCTCGTACAATTTATACCGCAGCAAGACCCTCCGTCCGACGAGGCTTCTCCACCTCCTCGATCCGCCACTTGGCTTCACCTCACTCCATCTCGGCCCTACTCAAACGCACACTTATCCGCGCAACCCGCTCCCTCCAAATCACTCTCAACCGTCCTGTAACCCCTTTCAAACTCCACCCTATCCTCACTACCCTCAAGGAGGCCCTTCGCCGTCCCTCCTACACCGTTCGCTCATCCTTACTCAAAGGCGCAATCTCCACCTTCCGCAGCACCGCATCCCGAACCACCCCCTCCACCACCAAACATGAATACTCCCGCCTCAACACCCCATCCGTCACCTTGGCTCGTGGGGCACTGAGCGGGCTCGGTCCACGTCCATCGGCCGGACAACTCTCACTTTCTCCGTTGCGAGGTGGAGTAGGATTGCAGACGAGTAGGAAGTTCTCCAGTGGTGGCGCTAGAGTGTTTGATAACCTGGTCGTAAACGCTCCTCTGGCGCTGAGGCTGGCTGGTGATGAGTTGGAGGAGAAATCCAAGTTGGCCCGTCGCAAGCCAAGCGCTACCGTTCGAAGGGCAGGCCCCGCGAGTGCTAGGAGGACCGGTGCAGCTTTTACTGGTGCGAAGCTGGCGAAGAACGCTTTCAGCTTCGCTAATCAGCAAAAGCAACAGCAGGCTACCCCTCAATCGGAGGTAGTTGAAGCTGAAGATGGTAAGAGTGAGGTTCCGAGCGAGTACAGCGAGTACTTTCAGTACCCTTCGCTTATCATCCACAACTCAACCTTGGCTTCGGAGAGCAGTACAACGGTGATTCGGATCCGCTTGATCCATCCTCTGTACGACACTCTTGGAGGTAAAGACCCCTCCCCTTCGACGCTCGCATACGGACCGCGGCTTTTCGATCAAGCGTTTCTGCTCGACGCCTCTACAGCATTGCAGTACGAACATAAGAGGTATTTACAAGCTAAAACCTTGCTCAGAGTGTTATGGCAGAGCGGGGTGTTGACAGAGGAAAATGGAGAGTTGGATTTGGCTTCTGATCCCGCCTACTGGACGATTAGCGTTAGAGGCAGGGGCAGGGAAGAAGTTGAGAGAGTGTTGAGGAGGGCCGTGCAGTTTGATTTTGCCGGTTGGTGCAGTATCGGCTCGGAAGGCGGGGAGGAAGAGAGGGCCGGTGGTTTGGATTGGTCTTACCTCCACCCAGGGACGACCAGAAGTGAAGGGTGGTCGACGCCAACGACTAGCAGAATAGAGAGAGGGGAAGAGGTGTTCTCACTGCCTTCCACACCGACCTTGTCTTCCGGGGAAGAAGTAGGCCAAGGAGAAGCAGAGGTGGGAAGTGATGAGTTGATGTCCCTACCTTCGGATGTCAGTTTTTCGTCTGGTGCTGGTCTTTCGGATTCTAGAGAGTGGCTCTAGTCTCGCCTCCCTCTAGCTGTGTTTGTTCTCATAGTTATATTGTTCCTGGACTCGATCGTCTCAGTTCTCGCACACCAAGAAAAATTTCAAACACAGATGTGTATCTCATACCACCACTCATGATCTGTTCTCAAGAAACACAAATCTCACTGTTCTCACACTCTCTGGGCCTTTGATGTCTGTTCTGAATCGAGAATTCCATTGCGATCTATTCAGATGAACTCTATGCGCAAGTACTAGCCTCACTAGGCGCCTTCTCCACCGCTTCCACAACCCCGGCTCCGGTGGCAGCATTCTTCCTCTGTTCGAGTACATTCTTGATGAAGAATTCACCCGCTTTATAACTGCTCCTAACCAACGGTCCACTCGCAACATAGAGGAAACCAAGATCCTTTGCGCGTTGTTCCCAATGCTTAAACTTCTCGGGAGATATGTATTCCTCCACCTTCATGTGGCGTTTTGTTGGACGCATATATTGACCGAAGGTGACTACGTCTACGTCGTTTTCCCGAAGGTCGCGGAGTGTTTGTTCTACTTCTGCGTCTAGTTCTCCGCAACCTAGCATGATTGAGGTTTTGGTGATTAGAGTTGGTTGGACTTGTTTGGCGTGGTTTAGCACCGATAGGGACTGTCTGTATTTGGCCCTGCGATCGCGAACGAAAGGAGTAGTGCGTTCAACAGTTTCAACATTATGCGCAAACACATCCAACCCAGACCTCGCCACCGTCTCCACATCCTCCATCTTGCCACTAAAATCCGGTACCAAAGCTTCCACAAGGATTTTAGGACTCTTAAACTTGATCTTACTAATCGTACCGGCAATATGGCTAGCACCACCATCCACAATATCATCCCTATCCACACTAGTCAATACAATATAACCCAATCCCCACCTACTTATCGCCTCGGCAGTATTCTCTGGCTCATGCGGATCAAGTGCAGCAGGCGCACGCGAGGTTTTAACAGCACAAAATCGACATCCTCGAGTACAGGTATCTCCCATAATCATAATCGTTGCCGTAGCCGTATCTTTTCCACCACTTCCACCCCAACATTCACCGATGTTAGGGCAGCGAGCCTCTTCGCAGACGGTGGAAAGGTTGAGGCCTCGAAGATCGTTTTTGATGCGGGTGTAGTTTGCGCCGGTGGGAATGCGGGTTTTGAGATGCGAGGGTAAACGGGGTTCGGAGGTGCGGCCCATGCGGACTCGTGGTTGGGTCTGAAGGATGGGGTCGGAGGAGGGGGAGGTGAAGTCATCGATGGAGAGATCGGAGGCTAGTTTTTCACGAAAGGCGGTCATACGTGCTGAGGGGGGTTTCTTGGAAGCGTCGGTGGCGTAACCTCGAGCTGAAGAAGAGATGGTGTTGGAAAGTGCAGCGATGCTGGGTGGGGAAGAGAAAGAAGTAGCAATACCGCGACTTCGTGGGGTGATATGAGCAGAGTTGATGGTCGGTGGACCCCACTCCGCATAATGATCCCTTTGAGCAGCCTTGCTCAACCCTAACCTTCCTCGCCACCTGGGCCAATGCACCAATCTCTCTCTCAAATCCTCCAAATCATGCACCGAGGACGCAGGAGCCAATGCAGCTCTCAGCACCAACTTGGAGTCAGTCGTCCTCAAGTTGCCATACCAATCTCCATGAGGGTATACCAGCGCATTGGCTGCCCAAGCATGACCTCCAACGTGACTGACCGCCATTACTTTCACTTTCTTCGGCGTCTCTTTTCCCGCCTTGATCAGGTTCGCCTGATGCGCTCTTACTTGCTGCTGCAGAGACTGAAGGAAAGCGCTACCGGCAAGGCCACACCTGCAATCCAACGACCCATGAGTGCAAACATATACATGAGTCTCATCCGAAGCCTGCACCCTTCCAGTCTGTGGCGCAGCGGTGGACAACGCAGCATCAATCCTCTCCCGCAACGGCAAATCAGAATCGAGTGTGCGGAGGGAAAGAGGAGCGATCTTGGCCATGGTGCCGTTGGTGGTGTATGCGTGGACGACAAACTTTTCTTCCTCTGCTACCGAGTTAGGTACGGCGCGCATGATGCGCGATGTTGTTGGATCCCACGCCTTCTGCTCTGTGGCGTCGGGGGAAGGGGAGATAGCACGGGCGTCACCGGAGGAGAAAGAGATTCCATAACCCTCAAGAGAGCCACCCTTGCCGGTCCGGCTCTTGAGCTCAGATATGAACGGCGAAACGGATTCGAGGTGGGATGGCCAAGTGTCTGCAGGTCGAGCCGTGTCGTAAGGGTGAACGATGAGATGGACTTGATAGGAAGGAGAGGTACCTGCAAGTGGCAAAGTTGAGTAGGGAGCTGAGGGGATTTGACCGTGCTCATCGAGTGCGATGGAGAGGTCTTGGCCAGAGATGGAGGTCATTTTCTTGATGCTAGAGGACGTGATCCCGTGGCGGGATGTGGTTGTGTAGAGTGTTCGAGAGCATGCTGCCATCGAGCTGGCAATGGTACGAGCAGCCAACAAGTGAGCTGGAAGAGTGGCAGTGGCGGTAGCGGAACGTGTGCGAAGCAACCGCACCGAAGCGGCTGCTGCTGAAGATGATGCCCAGCAGCTCATCTTGCGCGTCTGTGTTGGTAGGAGTGCGCAGTGGTGATGGTGTTGAAGGGAATGGTGGAACGCAGCCGTGGCCAAGGGTCTAAAGAGCTAGAGAAGGAATCAGAGTTGCGTTGCGTTTGACTCGGCAACACAGAGCCAAAAACAAATCCAAACGCTTTCGCCACCAAATCCCAAATTCGCTCTGACAGTAGAAAGGTTTCGGTTACTTACCTATGACCAGCGACAAACTAGTAAGCGTGTAGGTCAGAGAGGTGGTGATGATGGTGGTTCGGAAGCAAGACATTTTCAACGGCCAACTCGGGTTTCGGACTGCGCGTAAAACTAAACCACGTGACGCGTCTTCTAGATTAATAAGCATGAGCTCATCAAGCCGCTGCCCTCGGAACCGGCCGATAGAGTGAGATGTTTTTGCAGTCACCGACAAGCACGAGAATTGAAGATTATAAGTACAATATGCTGTCCTGAGCTACTAGCAAGCTCCTGTTCACAGACGTATGACTTCTTGAATGCTGAAGCTTACTATGCTGGAGTGTCACCATAGAAGAGTATATATACCTTAGCACCATCTCTGTGCACGCTAGGCTGAGATGAGTCGCCTCCTGTGTTGCTCCTGAGTTGTCGCTTTCTGCATCACTCCTGGGTCGTTGCTATGGCAACGCTCATGTATCCCACATGCACATCGCTTATGCACAACCTCGCCTCATCGTCATTCGATTGGACCCCGTGAATCCCGTTGGAATGCCGAGGCATCTTCAACTCGAGCCTCCCACACTTTCATCTGACCCACCAGTCAGCTGAATCTCTACCGTATCAAATCCATCCAAAAAGGTGTGGCGACTGTTTCACAGCCACCAATGGCAACCCCCACTCGTCTCATCTCACCTCTCCTCGCGTCTCACCATCACCCCACTCGTCTCATCTCACCTCTCCTCGCGTCTCACCATCACCCCACTCTCGCGCTGGCTCCGTGCAGCGCTCTTCAACCTCACCCGCGCCCTCCCGTCCCTTGACTCATGGAGTTAGGTCTCAGGCACGCTTCGCCCGGCTATCATGTGACGCTCGACCACCTGTGGCCCTTACGGCCACGGCTGGGAGCTCGCAAGCGACTCTCCCATGAGTTAGGCAACCTCACATTTCTCATGTTTCGGTCTCTGTCCCCGCGTGTGGTTCGTGTACCCCGCAGGCAGGCATTGATGTTTGCGAACAAGAGCTGAGGGCTGGGCTCCCAAATATTCGAAAGTTCTCCCTCGCTTCCTTCAAGATTCAGACAACCTTCGAGCAAGATGACTCGAGCTTCTACTTCCGCTGCCAACTTTGGCCTCCTTCTGGTAGCTTTGGTTCTGATGCTTCACTCTGTTGTGGGCGAGCCCACTTCTAGACATGTCCCTCACCATCTCTCTCCTCGCGGAGACGACAGATATAAGTATTGCCTTCCCAAGTTTACTCCTAATTATGCGGACTACAAAGCACGCTGCGAAGCCGGAAGTGACCTCAAGCATACTTGCTTCATTCAATGGGCCGGTGATCTTAAGAACGCGGAAGTTTGCCCCTACGTTGTACCATTACACGCCATGAGCAAGCTCATGATCAAGGACGATACCATGAAGGGTAAGTTTTTTCACCTTCAGCCAGAAAATTAAGAGCAGATGCTGATCTTTTGTCTTCAATGCCCCTGCAGATTTCGCAATGGAGAACCCTACTGATTCCTTCAAGATAACCTATCCTCACTTCGGTGGAGTTAGCTTCCTCTTCGAGAACTTCGATAATAAGACCGGATGCAAGGACATCACTCTCCGTAGTGGTAAGAACATTTCCTGGAGGCTCTGGGTCTCGGACGACGATGGCAATGGCAAGGACATCGATACTTTGAATTATAAGTGGACGATCAAGACACTCTGCTCCAAGTGGATCCACATTCATGTCAAGCAAGATGGCTGGCCCTTTACAACTTGATTTACGATGTGCCTCTTTCCAAGCGAATATGTCAATTCTCCTCAATCAATCTTGTTGTTGTTGTTGTTGGAGCGAATAGCGTTGATCGCTTGTCGCTTGCGACACGGACTTGGATGGTAGGACGCGGTTTTATTACGTGTGGCGACGATGGACGGTCTGCAATTGAAAAAGTGTATGATGCCACCGTGTGTGCAGGAGAAAGAGAGAGAGAGATGTTGCAACTGACATTCGACTCTCTTTCGAGCCGTTCCGACTCACAGCGATTAGCTGCAATCACGTCGACTTGGCTTAACCTCGTTTAGTTGAAGCATGTGACCTCTCGGAGTATGTAACATTCTACTCCGAGCTCACATGTAAGGCCAACTTCACTCACTCGGCCGTATCGTCCTTGTAAACATACATGTATACACGTAACACTGGAACATATATATACAGTGGTGATCATAGTGAAAACACATGACTGCTTATGTGATATTCCGACTTCCCGCAAAACCTCGCTCAGCGTCGCCACCCGTCAACTCCCACCAACGCTAAGCACCACCCACCAACACCCCTATCTCATCCGACAGTGGCACACCCTCATACGTGTCACCTCATAGGCATACGCACGCATCGCTCGACACAGAAGCATATATATACTCATGATATTCCTTTGTACTTAGCTCTCTTATAATGCTAACGATTTCGCCGCTTGCTTGACCGCCCTGATTGTGCTTTCCTCAACAATCATCATGTACTTAGCAATGCTCCTCATCGCAATCGATACTTGTGATCATTGACTTCGACGCACGCTCTTGAACAGTTTCAAACTCAGCTAGTCTTTGAGGTCCTTGCCGAGGCCGAGTGCGGCGTGGACATTGCTACCGAAACCTCAGTAAGAGCGTGTGTGCTTTTGATGACCAATTCAACTGAGCTCTGAGACGTTGGAAATTTCGCGGTTGAAGAGCCAGTCTCGGTTCTTTCCGCTGGAGCCAAGCAAATCTAACATAAAATCCAAGTCTATCGCTGTTGTTGATCGCAAGCAATATCAAGCAAAGGGGCCTCGTTGCCATCCTCTTTTCGCCTCATTCACGGAAGAATTGGTAGAGAGAGATAGGGAGTGGCAACTTGATCTAATGATTCAAGTACTGGGGTTGACCATGCGGTGAAATAGAAGCGTAGTGGTTGCGAGGTGCGCAATCAGTGGCAAGAATCGAGACGACTTAATGAGAGATGACCTGAGTCTGACAAGATAGGAAGGTACTGAAAGACGTGGAAATGTTGAGGTAATCCACAGTCTAGGGCAATAGAGCGAGCGGCGAAATCGTTGGCATTTCATGAGGACTAGATACAGCAATGTCAAGAGTATATATGCTTTACTGTGAGTGTGTGAAGGCGAAGTGCCACGTATGACTGCATGATGTGATAGGATGAGATAGGGGCCGTTGGTGGGCGATGATATGTGCTAGTGGGAGACGACGGGTGGCGACGATGAACGAAGTTGGCGGGCGCGTTAAAGCGTGACCGTGACCGCGCGGTCATGTGATTTTACTGGAAAACCTCTTCCTGATGTTGTCGCATGGTGGGTGACATTGTCCTGCCTCGTTCGCAGGGTGTACTGTCTACGAAGAGCCAAGGAAAGCATGCCCCATCTTCAACTGCTCTTCCAATCTCCTGATCTCCTCTAAACTCTCACTCTTCTCGATCGCCTCTTGAATCGCTTTCCTCTCTTCGCGCGTTAAAAATCTCTTTCTCGACCCGTTTGATCTCCCCGGTTCAAAGGTGCTTTCTTTCCCTGCAACTGCACTGTCGACATCCATCTTGTCCCCACCCATCAACTTGACCGCCAAAGCTGACGGCCTTGCATCCTGAGTCTCCATCAACTCCTTTGCCAATTGCCTCTCTTTATCCCTTATCCGCTGAAAATCCAGCACTCTAAGCTGAGGCAGTTTCCAGATGACAAAGTCCCTATAATGCTGCTCCCTTCCAACTGGATTGCCCATCAATGTTAGATGCTCGAGCTTGCTGCATTTGGCCAAGTGTACAAGCTCGGATAGGTCTGATATCGAGTTATTCGTAAGTGTTAACGAGTGTAGAGAGGGAAGGGAGAAAGGTAACCGAGGGTCGATGCGAGATATTAAGTTATTCGAGAGAAGCAGGTGTTTGAGTTGTCGAAGAAGGGGAAAGTTGCCGAGATAGCGAATGTCGTTGTCTGTAAAGTCGATCGAGTCGTTCTGGTCTCGAGTGACGCCGAGGTTTTCGATGGCTGGGATCTTGAGTCCGCGGAGATCGACGGAACGGTCCTGGAGATGGTTGATGGAGGAGCTGCTACGGGAGAGGAGCTCGGGTGTGAGCTTCATTGCGGCGCAAAATCTCTGTGTAGTGGGGAAGCGAGACTGTTTTATGATTCGGTGTGCTGGTAAGGCGCTTGCTGCTTGGCGGGGAGATGGGGTCGTCCTCGACGATTGTGTATGGCCTTGCAACGATGCAAATGTGCCGCTGGCGATCTGCCTTGCTGGGTCGAGTTTCAGTGCTTTGATGCGGGACAATCTCTGGATGCACGGTGATCAACGATGGATATTCGGCTGCTTGAGATGGAGAGATGCTTTGCGTTATGGATATGGAGCGATAGTAATCAGATGGGGGGAGCTGTCAGAAAGTGGAGAAAGAAGGGAAACAACATTCATGAATGCGCTGCTGCAGACTTTTGCGTCACGTGAGCCGCAGCTTTCGAAGTCCAATTTTATTTTTATTTTTTTTGGTTTTTTTGTTTTTTTTGTTTTTTTTTTTTTTTTTTTCGGCTGGAAGAAAATGTGCGTTTTTCTGCTCTTGGTTGAGCCATAAAAGACCCTTGCTTGAACTTACACACTTTCTTCTTGTCCTCATCATCATCCTTCGAAACACCTCTTACACCAACATCGACTCGACCCCAGCTTTCCCTCTGTGTTCTCTTCCATCACTGCTTTCGACTTGCCGTTCCAACACTTGCTCTCTCTCTCTCTCTCTCTCTCTCTCTCGCAGGGAATCGATTTATTCTACCATCCCACCATCTCAATCTCCCACGTTCCTTGAGCACATTCCATCTCGCACCCCTTCTATCTGCTCTCTTGTCCCCGATTCTGAGCATCCCGCCTCACCTTGGTTCCCCGTTCTGCCCATTCAACCCCATCCCCCAATTCTGGACCTAATTCTGCCCGCTCTGTGCGCAATACTAAGCCTAGCGGTTCCTGGTGAGGGTCCAACAGTAATCCATCTCGCCTTTCACGAGGGAGTGATGGGGCATGTTCAGTGGTTGTGGCGTACTACACATTCGCTACGCTGCTGGATGTGTTAGCCAGTCTCAATCTTAGCTAGTGCCTCGTTCTTCGGCAGGATTATATGTGCGGATCTCTTCTTGGTTACTGTAACAGGTGCTGGGAGTTTTATCGAGATTTCGTCTTTCCTTGTCGACGGGTCTTGGTTGAGTTGGCAACATTCTTACTTGCTTTGGTGCTGCAATGAACAGTTACATCAAGATGATGGCCCGGTGTTGTGTGCTGTGTGATGAAAGTGTGAGGAGGGAATGAGCCCGATGAATCGGGGGGTGAGGGGCGGGGGGGGAGAGAGAGTGCATCACGTGATTTCATAGAAAGGCGTGCGTGTCTGGACTGGACTCAGCCATCGCATTGTTGTGCTTCCGCTCTTCACAACATCAAGTCCGCTCCTCATTTCTCTCTTCACTACCATCATCTTCTCCAAAGCCAGGTATACGAGAACCTGCTTTGTGGCGGAGCCTCCAGCCCCTCTGCAGTGACCGCTGTCTGCTGTGCAGGCGACACCGCAGCTGTTGGCGGGCTGGGAGCCTCCTTGTCGAGCTTCGAGGACCTCACGGGTCCTTGCTTGCAACCCACCTAAGTTATCTGCGTGTTATTCAATTGGTCTAGTTTTCAGTTTTTCGTTTCGTGCGATTGAGTGCAGACGGGAATGATATTTCCGTCCGCGGAATAGAGGCTCGGCTGCTTTTGTCGGCTCCCCGGCTTGGTCAAGAACGGTTTGCTTCCCTCCAACTCCGGCGAGACATGCCAGCAATCCTCTTGGAGTCAGGCCTTGTATGAGCGACTGTCGTGGTCAGCTCTGAAGATGCTACCATACATGCTTCAGGTACAGACATCAAGCTCTTGTCCAGCGACACGAAAAAGATGCCTACGAGCAATGATGTTCTATCCACTCTCCCCGGCCTAGCCAACGTAGAGCTGGGTGCGACCCAAAGGGAAGGCACAACCACTCCTGCCGCTGCGATGACAGGCTATCCCACAGTCGCACCGGACCACGTGCCAGGCATCACCCAATCCGGTATCGTCCTAATCCTCAACTTGCTCCTCAACATGACATTCTTCATCATCGTGCCCACCTCTGCAGCCTACGCCAACGAACTGGGCGCCTCCACCTGGTTCTCTGGTCTCACGATCGGTATCTCGACTTTGATCGCTGGATGCTTCCTCGTCCCCTTTTCCACTCGCTACAGCCGGGTCTACCGTTTTCCATTCCTGTTCAGCTCGGTGTGCATCTTTACAGGAGAGATCGTCTATGCGCTTGCAGGTCTAGCTGATACTGCGTGGTTGATGTTTTTAGGTCGAATCATCTTGGGTGCGGGCTTCGTAAGCTGGATGTACGTCAAGAAGTATATGACGGATGCAGCGGTGGTGGGCGCACAGAAAAGGACGATGATGAGTGCTTGTCTAGTGACGACACAGGTAGGGGGGATGGCAGTGGGGCCTTGGATTGGAGGCGTTTTGAGTAAGAAGGTGAGACCGATGACGGATGAGAACAGGCTTTGGAATGGATTTACTGCAAGTGGCTGGTTGATGGCGGCTGTGTTTGCTGTCTTCTTTGCTGTGACGTTGCTGTATTTCAAGGATCCAGAGACGCTTTCACCGTCGCCGGTTCAGGTGGAACTTGCTCCACTTTCATTGACAATACCCAACGCAGCAGCTAAGAAGGCGAACAAGGCGGGCAACGGCGAACCAACGTTGGGCTCAATGATACGAGAGTTGAACGCAACTCAAAAGTTCTCGGTGGTGACCATGTGTTGGTTTAGCATGGTCAACTTCCTCGTTCTCGGTGCCTGGGAGGCCAACATTCCCGTCTTTGGTCATTTACGTTTCGGTTGGAGCGAGTACAATGCTGGCAACGTGATCGCGTTGGGTGGATTAGCTACGATGCCTATTCTGTTCGCGCTGGTGTTCGCGGCAAAACATGTGCAAGATCGACTGATCCTCGCCGTTGGTCTCCTCTTTGGTTTGCTGGGACTATCTCTGCACATGGGTTCACTCGAAAGCCCGACGAAATCAGCAGTGAGCAGACTTGGCATGCTTACTTGGCTCAACTTTGGCTCTTTCTTCACGAGCTGGTTCCTCGTCGCACTGGGCTACAACATGCTGACGACCGTGACACTATCACTGCTCTCCAAGCAGATCCCGGCCAAGTATAACGGTCTCACATCGACGGTGATTCAGTTGAGCAACTACTCGGGCCGTATTGGTGGTGCGTTGTGGGGCTCAACAATCTATCAGATCGGGCAGTTTAGCATTGTATCGTTCGAGTTGGCTGTAACGCTGATCGGGGCTTTTATGATCGGGTTCATGTGGCGTAAGATGGATGTTCAGCGTGGCTAATGGATATCCATTCGCCCTCCTTTTCATAGACTGTATCGGCAACCACCGCGGACAACGTTTATTTGTGTTTGACGTGTGTGAAAGATGAGGCAACGAGATCACGATTGTTCGGCTCTTCCGAGTCTATCACTAATCATCACCGGTCCATCCGATGCTTTCTTACTCCCAACAAAGTTGATTGTTACACTCAAAGTTAAACATGGTTCGGTCGGGCCGAAGCATTCGCTCAGTATTCGGCACCTCCCCCGATGCAGGCAGACGGTATCGGATAGCAGCCGAATGTTAAAGAGATAAGAGCATCATACGGAAATCACGTCATTCAGACACAGCGGAGCAGCCGACCGTGCTCTTGTGCTGTTTCTGTTGCTTCTGCTGTCTCTCTCATGCTCGATTGATAGCGGATGGAGCCGATTCAAGTGAGTGGGCACTTTTCCTGCATCTTTTGCTCCACATTTTGCTGACCACCTTTGCAGCAAAGTTAGATTCAAGTGCGCGTTTCTCTCGTCGCCGCGACCATCTCATCCCTTCCTTGCTCCCTTCCTTCTCTTACACCATCATCTTCTGTCGCGTCGCCATCCATTCCTCTCCTCCTCCTCCTCCTCCTCCTCCTATCATACCGATCACATTGTCTTGTCATCAAGATCAGACTGCTACTATCGGCAAACTTTGGTCTTACGCACGGACGACTACTCGAGATACGCGATAACCGCCTCCGTCCCGCCTTGGCTGGCTGGCTGAGATCACCATCCCATTTATCTCAAGAATGCGTCTGTAATCTTTCGAGCTTGATCCATGTCCGCGTCGCAAGTTGGCCGGCAACTGGTCGATCATACAACGACTTTGAAACCTAATCCTACTTTGCAAACCTATCCTTCACATCCCTTTGCACGGCCTCGATGACAGCTCTGGTCGCAACCATGTCCTCACCACCAACTCCAGCACTTGATTCGGAGCATGACTCCCCCGGCGACTCGAGCTTCAATACCCCCATCTCTTCTCCTTCGGGTCACCACACTCCTGCAGCCGGATACCGCGCTGCCGCAGGTACGCTCTCCAACGTCTTTGCCTCTCTTTGGGGCACCTACAACCAACAAGCTCAAGCGCAAGAGCAACAGCAGCGCCAAAGTGGTCCTTCTCGACTTCAACCTCCTTCTTCCTCCGCCAACACGCCGGCGGACTCACCCAACCCTTCTGTTCCGGCTGGATGGGTCAACTTGCTCAGCTGGGGACCTGCAGCAGGTCGGCAGAAGACCACTACCCTACCAAAGTCGTCTGCATCGCCATCGCGTGCTACTGCAGCCAAGTCGGGCAGAGCTAGAGGTGCGATCCCTTTCAATATATCCGCTCCCATTGAGGCCGAGAGTGGTGAGAAGGCCGAGGAGCGACTCCAGAGGCGGGGCGAAACATCGCGAGGTGCACGCCTATCACCGGCCAGCTCTCCGCCTCGCAGACCTCTAGCTGGTATCTTTGAGGACATCGCACCAGCCTCTCCACCTCCTCAAACGCCCGCACCGCCACGTTCACCTGCATCGCCGCGCAGCCAGTTCCGCCATCTTCCACCACCGGCCTCCCCTTCACTTGGAGATGAGTCTCCCAGGGGAGCGTATGCCACTCTGTCGCGACTCCAATCCAAGCCTTCCAGCAACAAACTTCCTTCAGGCTCCGGCTTCCTCTGGCCCTCCTCCAGCAGCACCACACCCACCAGTGCCACAGGCGGAGACCAGCCCGCGTCACCCATCTCGCACCCCCGACCAGCCGCTAATTGGAGCGAAGCCCTGGCACGCACCGAAAAGCTCGACTGCTACGTTCGGCGCATCGTCTTTCAAGCAGGGCTCGACTACGAAACGCGTCCTATGGTCGTTTTTGCCTCTTGCTGCCTCCCTGATTCCAAGGAGGTGGACTACGACGCGTTGCTGGATAGGATCATGGACACGATGGATCTGTTCGTAGAAAACGACTACACAGTCATCTACTTTGCGGCTGGTGGACATCATCGACCCGGCTGGAATTGGATCTGGCGTGCCTATCGTCGTCTTGATCGAAGGTTCAGGAAGAATTTGAAGAAGTTGTACATTGTACATCCCACCTTCTTCACCAGATCGTTGCTGCAGTTCCTTAATACGGGGGCCTACTTGGTCTCGCCCAAGTTCAGTAAGAAGGTGGTACAGCTGTATACGCTGAGTGCCCTGGCGGGATATGTGCCATTGACGCAAATCGATATTCCGCCAGAGGTGTTGCAGTGGAACTTGCGGTATGAGAAGCATGTCAATCTGCCACAGAAGGCGTTGGATGCAAAAACAGGTGGGAATCAAGGTGGAGCGGGGGAAAAAGTGTTCGGTGTGGATCTAGTCGAGCTTATGGGAGAGTACGGCGAGAGTGGTGGAGTTCCCAGAGTGGCTCGAGACTGCGTAGAAGCAATCCTCGGCGACTTCGATGGGATTCAACCAGCAGAGGTAGAAGGTATCTTCAGAAGGTCTCCCTCATCTGCACTGCTCAAAACGGCTCAGGAGAGCTACGATCGAGGACATCCTGTAAGCTTGGAACAGTATAGGGATCCGCATATCCCTGCAGTGCTTCTCAAAGTCTTGCTTCGGTCGTTACCGCGTCCGATCTTCCCAGCTAGCATGTATGGATTGATTCGAGCATGTCCTCCACCTCCCCTCCCCGGCACGGGCAACAGCAGCGAAGCAGTGCAAGCACAAGCGCAGGAGACGATCCACTTTCTCCGCACGCGTCTGCTCCCCGCCATTGAGCCCCCCTGCGCCGGTATCTTGCTATCCTACGTCCTCGAGATGCTGCATAAAGTAGCACAGCATAAGGAGAGTAACAAGATGGATGCTGCCAACCTTGCTACCGTCATTGCACCTAACCTAGTGTCGAGCGGGAATGCGATCAAGGATGTTATGATTTGTCGGGTTGAAGGCATTTCTTCTATGTCTTCACCTGCTTCGGCGCAGGGTCAGGGTCAAGGGAGAAGTCCGTCGATGCGCAAAGCCTCCATCTCTTCAACTGCGCAAGGTACCGCCACCACTCTCGGCTCCATCCTCCGGTTCTGTATCGAACGATACTACGAAATATTCGACGATATCTCCTTCAGTCCCCAGATCAACTCGGTAGAAGAGCTAGTTGATGATCTTAGCCGCAAAGATCTCGAGGAAGGAGGAAGTAGGTCTCCTTCGACATCAAGCAAACGTCTTGCCAGCCTCTATGGCACACCCGCATCCGCGTCTGGTCTCGGTTTCGCCGCCCACCCCCACCCCCACCATCAGTGTGGGGAATCCACCAACTCCAGTCCCTCCCAATCACCCTCCCCCTTCACTCACAACGGCGGGTGGGGTGTTGGGGAGGAAGAAGAAGATCGACGTTCAGGCCTAACCGGTGGGAAAAGCGTTGCAAGTAGGGAAGGCTATCGAACACCAGCAGGATTCCAACGAACGGTAGGAAGAAATTCATCAGGAAGTTTAAGATTAACCAAAGGAAGGCTAGGGGGAAGTAATAGTAATTTAAGAGGTAGTTTGACAAACGGCAGTGGGTTTAGGATGTCTAATCTCGCCCCGCACCCCAACTCTACGGATGGTGAGGGGACCAATGAGGCAGAGGTGGAAGGGCTGACTTCGCAATTGAGTGGAGTGTTGTTGACTGGAGCTAATGCTACTGCTACTTTTGCGAGTCCTTGTGCAGCAACGGTGGCGGGGGATGGGCGAGGCGAGGAGATGGATTCACCCTCATCGCCCATCCTGACACTACAACAGCAACTTGCACCTTCGATTGGATCTCCGAATGCGTTTCAGAGCACTCCTCCCACAGCACCGCAAGCAACAGTGGCTCCAACACGACGCAAGTCTGTCGGAAGAGAGCTCTCCGAAGTGGCAGAAGCTGAAACTGAAGAAGCTACCTCTTGAAATCTTTGGCTCCATGTAATGGCTGAGTGACGATTCGCTTTTTGTAACCTTATCTTTCCCGTTCGGCCAATGGGAAACTAGTCATGTTCGACGGCAAGCCGGCTTGTGCAATGCGGTTGTCGTAAATCAACTGCTCATCCCGTGCTCGTTATAGGCAGGCAGAGAGCTCGTATTCCGATGATCCTTGTGTGTTGACAGAGGCTGAGCTTCTTATTGACGGAACGCTAGGTACAAATCGATCAAGGTTGCACTCAATAGAGAGGTTTCTCATCCCTAATCGACTCGTTTCACTCCAGCATGCGCCCTGTCAATCGGCAATCATCATCAGCAACACAATTCCCTCGCATCACAAACCCCACAAACCCCAAAAGCCCAAGAAATCAGAGCATGTAATACGAACCAATTTCTTATCCATTCATTTCTTGTACACGCACCCCTTCCCCCCTCCTCCTCTTTCTTTAGTACGTCAAACCCCGAAACCTTGCCTCAGCATCATCCTTCGCCTTCGCCTTCGCCTTCGCATTCCTCTCCCTCTCAACCGCCCTTTTGGACTTGTCATTGATCTCGATCAATCTCCCAATAAGTTCATCCCTGTTCCAATCGGATCTATGACTCCAAATCGCATTGAAACATGCAGCGCGGAGACGAGAGAGTTGATCAACGTTGTAACTGGCGGTATCTCGGACGATCGCCCGACAGAGATGCGTGTACTCTTCGCGGACGTAGGTTAGTGGTGGGTGTGGTTCGGGTTCTGCTTGCGGTTGCGGTTGCGGTTGCGGTTGCGGTTGCGGTTGCGGTTGCGGTTGCGGTGCCGGTGCGGGTGCGGGTGCGGATGCGGATGCGGGTGCGGAGGGGGACTGGGTGGTGACGGTGGAGGAGGGTTGGGAGGGAGAGGTTAGTCGGGCGCGTTTACGCGCTTCTTCCTCGCCGTTAGCCTCAGATGCAGGCGCGTTGACGGTAGTGGAAGGGTCAGAGGAAGAGCCTTCAACCGTAGCAGAAGCCGCAGTCGCACCTTCTTCTTGAGCATTCGACGTAGCAGTCGACCCTTGTTGCTGCTGCGCACTAACACTTCTCTGTCTCTTACTCCCCCTCTCCCCACCCACACTTTCCAACCCAGCAGACTCAGGTTCTTTACCCGCAATCCTAGCACTAGCCCTTTCACCTTTCGCACTCTCTGCCTTTTTCGCCGCTGCCTCCTCCGCACTCTGTTTCGCCTTCTCCGTCGCCTCTTTCGCCTCCTGCTCCCTCGCCATCTGTCTTAATGCCATCCTATCACATTCCTCCCGAAACCCAGCATCGATATACTGATCCATCAAAATAATCGCCAGGTTGCGCATCTGGTGAGCACGGAAGACCCGATCCTGATCCACTTCAGCTGCTTCCTCCGCATTCTCAACGATCTTCTGGATGTCTTCCAAAAAGGCGGAACAGGAGAGGTAGCCGTTGTAGTAGAGACGTTTTTGCATTTTTTCGAGGTTGGTGGTCCAGATGGGCATGTTGCGGGTGATGTATTCGTCGTTGATGGTTGTGGGGCCGTTGGTGGGGCCAGAGACGATCGAGGTGTCGGCCATAGGGTCGGATGCGGAGGTGTCTGCAGCTGCGGATTCGGTTGTGGATGCGTCGACGCCGTTCGTGCCGTTGGGTTGCGAGGATGGTGGTGGGATGAGGACGCCAGCATCAGTTTCTGCTCCCTCGACACCATGAGCATCAGGAACAATTCCGTTGGTGTTGTTGGCAGGGGCAGCAACTCCGTCATCATTGGACATCTCAACATCACCATTCTCGGCCGTCGCACCAGCTTCAGCAGCATCGCCAGCCTCAGCAAGCTGCTCGTCTTCGACTTCCGTAATACTATTAGCGGTAGAACCCATGAACTGAGCAGCCGTTATGCCGCGCTTAGCAGCAATATCAGCCTCAGTCTCGAGCATCTCCGCATCGTCGTTGACCTCGATCGGAGTCGGTTGTGCTGCCATGTTGGGTCGGTAGTATCGGAGCTCCACCGTGATCTTGCCCTTTTCGCGCTTCCAGGCAAATTGCTGCGTAAGTTCTCTGAGGTTGTACTCGTCCCAAACATCACGGGTGAACTTCTTGAACTTCTTCCTCAGCTCAGCAAGAACAGGGCCAAGGCGGAACTTGAGATGCTCGAGCAGCTTCGTGTCGCTATCTGCCTGCTGCTGCAATTCAGCCTGGGTGAGCTTGCGTGGTGGACGAGGTGGTGCCTTGGGTAGCTCTTCGAGCACTCGCTTGCGTCTTGGAAGCGCGTCAGGGAACTCGGTGGGCGGTCGAATGACGTGGTCAAAGATCTCTTTGAAGAAATCTCGTCGGCTCTCTTCATCGGGACGAGGGATTTCGACAATGTCGTCATCGAGGAAGTTGAACCATGAGTGAACTTCATCGTCGAGCTCGTCAAGTGGAGCTTCTGCAATGCCGAGCAACATCACTGGGTCAGCATCGGTGAGACCGTCCAACAACGCCTTGAAGGTGGTTTTGACGCTGTCCGAGACAGAGCGAGACCAGTGCACGATGCCAGGAATGTAGAGCACGCTCGGTTTGTGTCGCTTTGCCTCGACGAAGAGCTGGATGATGGCAGCTTCAGGTGTCCGTGCGCTGTCACCGAGCAAGGTTGCAATATCGAGCGACTGGACGTGGTATCCTTCAAGATGCTGCAATAGTGCGGCACCGACAGCACCTTGTCCCATGCCGACGTCACCGTACACAAGCATGCGTGGACGGTAGACGCGCTGTGCCTCGAAAGACTGAAGCAGCATCTCGCGACCAAAGCCGCGGTCACCAGCAAGCATGTCGGCAGCCGAAAGACCCGAAGTCAGACCCTTGGGGACGAAGGTATCGTCCTCCCACAGTGCTTCCTCTAATGGATTGCGCTTTGAGACAGGTGGAAGGATCCTGTTGAGAACAGATATGGCATCCTGAACGACAGCACCGAGCAGCGATGCCAACCTCTCGGGTAGGGGAGCAGCAGCCGACGCGCTTGCTCTTGCCGACGACGGGACGATCTTGTTGACCGACATCATAAAGTCCTTAGCGTCAACCTGAATAGATGCAGGGTCGAGCAGGAGTCGGTCCGTGGTCGAGTAGATCTGAGGATAGCGTCGCTGAACGGCATTCAGTGCAGCCTCTGTGCAAAGCGCGCGCAGATCGGCTCCTCCGTATCCTTTGGTGACTTGCGCGAGTCTGGCCTTGAAGTCGTCATCAAGTGGAGGCTCCCATTTGCTTGTGTGAATGTTGATGATACTCCTACGCGCCTCGAGCGATGGCAGAGGGAAGTAGAATTCTCTATCGAATCGACCAGGACGACGCAGGGCTGGGTCGACACTGTCAGGTCGGTTGGTAGCACCAATCACGACAACCTGTCCACGTCCATCCATCCCGTCCATCAGCGCAAGCATGGTACTAACAATACTCGCGTGGATCTGATCTTGCTTGCTGGAACGGACAGGCGCGAGACCGTCGATCTCATCGAAGAAGATGATACTCGGTTGCGAGTTTCTTGCCTCTTCGAATAAAAGACGCAGCTGTCGTTCAGCTTCACCGACCCACTTGGAAAGGCAGTCGGCACCTTTTCGCATGAAGAAGCTGACTTGCTGTCCATCGGTACTACAGCTGGCAGCCAAGGCACGGGCGACGAGCGTCTTGCCGGTACCAGGTGGGCCGTGGAAGAGCACGCCACGGGGTGGCGTCACCTTGAAGCGCTGGAAGACTTCCGGGTACAGCAAGGGCAACATGACCATCTCCTTGAGTTGTTGTATGTGGCCATCGAGACCACCGACGCTGTCAAAGTCGACGTTCATGTCGACACCAAGAGGGTCAACATCAGCTAGCGGGTCGCCGCTCTTCTTGATACGTCCAAAGCTGTCCGTACCGCCAGAACCTGTGAGACCGCCAGGCGGACCAGCCGCGCCACCAGCACCATCTGCACCGAGCAGACCGCCAGCAGCTCCACCGCCAAGAGGAGCTGGTGCACCTGGCTTGCGAAGCGCATTGTTCTGCAACTCGTCATCGGAGCTGTCGATAGGATCGCCAAAGATACGTGCGTAGTCCTTGCCGGTCATGGAAGATGGCAGAGCATCCCATCCTTCCTTGCCCTTCTTGCCGCGACCAGGGAATGGCATGGGAAGACTTGGGCCCGGAGCACCAGAGCCAAAGCCAACGCCGTCGCCAGGAGGTTCCAGATCGTATGAGCCATATGCGCTGCGTCCACGACTGTTGCGAACGGGCCGGCCGAAGCCGTCTCTTGGTGGTGAGGGAGGGGGAGGTACGAGCGAGTAGTTGACCTTCTTGCGTTGACGAAGCGAGTAGGACTTGCCCTGACTTCCTTCTGGTTCGTCGCTATGAATGTCGAGTGGGTCATCCTCGGCTCCAGAGACATGCTCTTCTTCTGGAGTCTCGTCGCCTTCCCCCTCGTACTCTTCGTCACGAGGCTTGCGCCTCCCAGATTTGCTGCGACCATTAGCTGCACGCTTCTTAGCTGCCATCTCGGCAAGGCGGTTGGTATTAGAGCCCCCACCACCACGTCGAAGTCGACCTGAGGAGCGCGTGGAACGTTTGGAGCCGTATTCGCCTTCGTCGTCTTCCTCTTCATCGTCGTCGGCGGCCACAAAGCCATCGAGTGCGTTGGTATTGAGTCGAGCAGAGGTGCGTCGAGTGGAGCGGACAACCTGCTCATCTTCGTCGTCGTCGTTGTCGTCGCCGGCGAGGTTTTCAGAGTCTTCGGATTCAGCCATGTTATCTACTTTCTGCCTACGAATCCTACCGCTGCGGCTCTTGGAAAGGATAGGTTCCGGCTCGTGGTGTTGGTCTTGTTCTTTGACGACATGGTCTTGCTCGCCTTCCGCATCCTCGTCGGCTTGGGCATCTTCGTCTTCATCGTCTTGTTCATCCGCGTCCTGTAGGAGTGTCAGCAGAATGTCAAAGAAGCCAAGGAACATGGGTCAGTAAGGTTGTTCAGTCGCATGAAAAGATGAGCAAGCAACGAGAATGTCAGTACGACGTGTGAGACATCTGTCCACCGCGATCGCTCGCACCCGCGGTGGAACCAGAGTATCGGATGATGAGAGCTCAAGGCTGTGCTGCTTCCTCTCAAGACTGCACCGACCGCCATCGTCGAGATTCCAATACCACCCTAAACACACGACCCGCGAGTCTGAAAGCTTAAGCTTACCGATTGCCTGCCTCTCTTCTGAATCTGCTCATTCGCTCGCTGCCTGATGCCGATCTTGACTGTGAGCCTGGGGATAATGGCCTGTGTGTCGGTGAGCTCCTGGCTAGACTCGGGCTGTGAGTCGCCAAGGAGTCTGCTGCTTCGACGGGTAGCCTGGTAGGTAGCCTGCGACTTGGCCTTGCCTTTCTTTGGTGGCTGGGCTGTATTGGAGCGTGCAGCAGGACCATGCTCGGCTTGTTTGCTTGGTGCTTTATCTTTGGCTCTATTCTGGTCTTTGGTCTCGCCAGTGTCTTTGGCTCTGCTGCCGCGTTTGCCAGTGATAGCGTGTGTATTCTGGGCAACGAGTGGCTGGCTGCTACTGCGTGTGATTCTGGTGCTTCGACTGGGTGCGGGTATGGTAGTCTCTTTCTGCTTTCCTTTGGTCTCATTGTTGGAACGAGGCCTTTTCTCTTCCTTTGTGCTCGATCGACGGAACTGGGTGCGCTTTTTGGTCTTTGGCTGCGCTACATGCTCGTAATTATCGACATTGTTATCGGCGTCGTCGTATTCCTGCTCATCTTCACTGCTCTCCTGCTCGCTGTCATCATCGTCTTTGTCGTCATCGTCGTCTCGGTCGTCATGACGCTTCAAACGAGGAGTGGCTGGCTGCTGAGAAGCACTTACTTCTTCTTCGTAGTCCTCTTCGCTGCGTGGCTGCTGCTTGACTTGGCGACCACGAAGAGAACGGCTGTTGGGACTGTCGGAGTATACGTGGTTGATGTTGGCCGAGGCTACTGCGGCAGCAGCTCTACTGGGTCTACCTCCTACCATGTTGCTGGGAGGCTCGATCTGAAGCTGAGCTTGCGCTTGTCGTCCACCAGAGCTGGTCTCGTGTGCGTTGAGGGTGCGCTTCTTGAGCTTGATGCGGATGCCACTGTTCTGAGGCGAAGGGTCGTTGGAATCGATCGAATGGAAAGCCGGGGTGGAAACGGAGTCGAGGCCGTTCTCTTGCTTCAAGGGAAGACGAGGCGCTGATGCACTGTAAAAGTTCTGCTGCTGCTGCTGCTGCTGTTGATGATGCTGCTGTTGATGATGCTGCTGTTGATGATGCTGCTGTTGATGATGCTGCTGTTGATGCTGCTGGTGGTGTTCAAAGGCTGGCTGAGGCGAAAGCGACTGCGCAGGGTTGTCAATCCAAGTTGGCGTACCAGCGCGCTGTGGCCACTGTCCCGGTTGAAGGTACTGCGCAGCGTTGTTGCTTAGAGGCTGGTGGGTAGTGTGAGCAGGGAAGTTGGGAAGAAGATTCTCGAGACCAGCACCTGGCTGAGCAGCGTTCGAAGAATAGCCCGAGGTGACGGGAAAGTTGTACTGCTGCGGATTTGATTGCAAGTAGTGATTGTACTGGTTGTTTCCTCCGAAAAAGCCAGAGTTGTAGGAGGAGTCGTTGTTATTGTTCTGCTGGAAGCCGGGCTGCTGAGGGAAGGAAGAGGGATGAAAGTTTGCAGAGCAGTGGGATCCGTTACGGTTGCCGTGTTGGTAGAAAGGATAGGCGTTCGGGTCTTGGTTCAGAGCCGAGTTGATGTGATGGTGATCAGGAGCTGAGGTGTAGGATGGATAGGAACTGTGCTGATTGGGCTGCGAAGTGTAAGGGTAATGGGAACCGCCAGACATGGAAGCTGATTACGCGGCGAGTGGAAAAGAGTGAGATCGTTGACTGCGACTGCTGCCGACAGTCAATTGAAAGCGCGAATCAGAGAGGGACTGGCAATCGGGGCGTAAGCGAGGACGACGCTCTTCATGTCACCCAAGCTGCGATGTCGAAAGTCGTGTGTTTGTTGAAAGCGAAAAAAAAGGGAGGAAGGATGGATGGAAGGATGGATGGAAGGAAGAAAGGAAGAAAGGAAGGATGGTTGCGTGACGACACGGAGCAAGGCAAGGGACAATCCGCCGCTGCCTCGGACTCAAGGAAATAATGACCGACTGAGCTGCTGCTGCCGCATATTATTCTCAGCAAATGCGAAGCGCGCTTTGACCTTTTTTTTAAAACTTTCGACTCTTTGGCTGAGCTTTTTGCCTTTCTCTCTCTCTCTCTCTCTCTCTCTCTCTCTCTCTCGCTCTCATCTGACTCTTCTCATGCCGCCGCGCTGCCTTTTTTTGGCGTCCGCAAAAGATCGGGGGGAAGAGATCGGGGAAGAGATCGGGGAAGAGATCGGGAAGAACAATGTCTGCTTGTGTGTCGTCTGTGTCGCCTTTCTTTCTTAGCACCGAGCTGAGCAAGCACCCAAGGCTGCCATCTCGTATCACAACTCTTCTGGTGTCACGCATTGACTGGAATTCAACTGCATCTATATATACCCTGGTCGTCACTTGAGAGCATCTCGACCTCAGCTCATCCTGGATTGTAGCGTGGCTGTCATTTGAGTCACACTAAGAAAAGCATACAAAGCCTTGAGCCAAGGTTCGGTTTCTCAAACGTTGAGCTTGTATGGGATCGAGTGTCGACTCGAAAGCTTGAATTAAGCCTTGTGATCATCAGAAAGACAGTCTCTTACAGCATCGATGACGTTTTAGGCAGAGCTAGCCTGCACAGCGTAAGGCGAGCTAGGCAAGGTCCATACCTTGACGCTTCCATCATCGCCAGCACTTGCAAGCATATCCGACATGATCTCATGCGATACGCCGCCTGCTGCTAGGCCTTTAGGCATCTCGCCTTGGTTCATCAGCTTCTCCATCTGGGCCGTTGTTGAGCTCGATCGCGCATTCAAGCTTTCAGGTGCCCAGCATAGGCAGTTGACATCGGCACTTGCATGTGCCCTTTCCATCTTTGCAACCAGCTCTACTTTCGGCGCCAGCTGCTCTGCGTTCTCGGATTCTGAGAGCTCGTAGACGCAGATTCGGCCATCGCCACCACCACTTGCTAGACGTCCGAGGTTGCCAGGACGTTTGCAAGTCTTGTCGACACCCCAAGAGACGCTGTAGACTGTGCGATCGTGGTCACCTTTAAGCACGCTGACAAGCATCCATTTTTCGCCTCGGCGACCTGCCATCTTGCCTTCTGGTTTCAAGCCGCGTGCTTCGCATTGATCTGCGTCCAGCCTCCGCCAAATGCGAACAGTGAGATCGTCTGAGGCCGAAGCGAGGTAGTTGCCGCAAGGTGAGAAGGAGAGACTCCAGACCGTCGATTCGTGACCTGTGAGTGTGGTGAAGCAAAACCAGTCATCGGAAGGATCGTCGATGTAAAGCTTGATGGCGTCGTCGTAGGATGCAGATGCAAGCATCTCGTCCCTTGGATGCCACGCCACCGCCTTGACATCCTGTGAATGCTCCATCAATACCGAAAGACACTCGAACTCGGCATCAGGTTGCACCTCCCAGATCCATACCGACTTGTCTCGACTGCATGATGCAAGCAAACCGCCTGTGTGTGAGAAGGCAACCGACTTGCATTCCGATTCGTGACCTTCCAGTGTACCGACACAGTCCCATTCGAGCTGGTCGACGTGTGCTCCACCATTGCTCAGCGCGACCGGGCCTGGACCGTCACGGTTGCTTTCCAGCTCGGAGGTGCCGTCGATATCCTGTATCCTCTCCCATATGCCTACTGTCGAATCAAACGAGGCTGTGGCGAGAATCTTGCCATCAGGCGACCACGCCACTTGTCGGACTGTGCGCTGATGACCTGTCACTATCGCCTCGCGTAGGTTGAAGGATGGCTGCTTTGAGCTTGATGGACCATCGGCTGAAGTCGTTGATACGAACGAGTAGGCGTGCAGACGAACGTCCTTGTCGCCGGAGCAGGATGCCAAGATGGGCATCCGAGGGTTCCATGCGAGATGCCATGCACGTGATGAGTGACCTTCAAGGTTTGCGAGCAAGTGCAGAGAGACGGGTTCACGAGCCGACGCCTTTTCAGGACCGCCTGTTGGTGCAGAAGCGTTCATATTGTTGTGTGCGCAGCTGGATCAGCAAGACAAGCCGATTGGAATCCCGTCGAGAGGAACGCCTTCTTGCGTCTCAAGAGATGAAAGAGGTTGATTGCTGGACGTAGTCGAGACACTATACGAGCCTGTTCGGATTCGGATCCGGTGGCCGTCTGCAACGAGATGCGAGTCGGGTGTGCGAGATACGGGTTGAAGCAAATGTTCGTGTAAAAGTGCAATCTGACGATGCCGTGGGCTGCAACAACTTGATTGCTTGGCGGGTGGTGATCGTACAGATAAAAGTTGCAACCGTTGGCAAGGTCACACTTTGAGCGTCGGAGGTTCAGAGATGTCAATTGGTGGTGGTTATGGTTATGGTTATGGTTATGGTTATGGTTATGGTGGTGGCGGTGGTGGTGGTGGTGGTAAGGAAAGGAAACAGAGTCAGTTGGTCGGTCAACTTGGAATTGGTTGTGCTCAAGCCAAGTCGAGAATCTCAAGAAGCTCAGACGATCCACAGCTGAGACGATCCACAATTTCGCGGCCTGTGTCGGGAAATGATCCGAAGCCGACTCGCTGCTGCTGCTGCTGCTTCTTCTTCTTCTTCTTCTTCTTCTCGCAACTTTTGTTCTTCTGTCCTCTGACGTCGTAATAGTAAAAAATATATGTTTTCTGCTTCGATCTCACATACTCGGCCAACTTTACTCATTCGGATATACACCACGTTGGCCCGAAATCGACCGCCGCGGCATACCGGTTATCAAACACCCGATATAGTTTCCCCGTTACATTTCGGCCTTACCAATCCTTGTACACGGAAGTTATATATATATATACATTGGAATCATCTTGTACTTAGCTTATGATCGATACTTGTGATCAACGCTAATTGTCGCATGCCCTTTAACAGTAGTTTGCTTGTTTGCTGGATTTAAAGCTCGGTTTTCACTTTTCTCCATCCAATGTCGAAGCTGAGTGATCTCTGTACGATCACATCCAGAAGGCATACATCTTGTAGTGTGACATGCGAGTGTCGACTTCAGTGGCCGTGTCGCAGGCGCATGCCAAGTCAAGCCATGCCAAGTCAAGCCAAGCCAAGCCAAGCCGGAAGCACAGCTGCTGAAACTACTGCCGCTGCGAGCATTGTTCCTGCAGCCCACATGACAGCCGTGTTTCTCATTTCATTTGTGTCTCATTGTCTTGCCTTCAAGTCGGCAACTCTGATCTGCTGGCAGCTCGACAGATGTCCAGATTCAGTCCGAGATCCACACGGGACATCACGAAAGACACTTGGCTCCCATACACTTGGCTCCCATGCCTGACGCCACGGATAGCATAGAGACAGTTTCCATTGAGGAATGTGATGTACATTCAAGTTGCTTCTTATTGTATCCTATCATCTCTTTTGCTTCGATCAGGGGTTCTCGTTCCAGCCCTTGGCACGCTCCACTGCCCTCTCCCAACCGTGCAGGAGCTGCTTCCTCTTGTCCTCGTCGATCTTGGGCTCAAACACCTGCTTTCCTGCCCTGTTGACCTTGCTGAGCGTTTCTGGCTTGTTAATGTCCCAACCGAACAGACCGATCGCCGAACCAGCAAGGAGAGCGGAACCCAGTGCTGTGCTCTCTCGCATTTCAGGTCGCTCGACATTGATGCCAAGGATATCAGCCTGGATCTGCATCGCGACATCCGAGTTGGTGAGGCCACCGTCGACTTGCAATGCTTTCAGGGCGACACCCGAGTCTTTCGACATGGCATCCAGGATAGCCTTGGTTTGGTAGCATGTCGATTCCAGAGTGGCACGGCACAAGTGGCGCCTGTCGGTGTAAGCGGTGATACCGACAACCGTACCAGCAGCAGTGTCGTCCCAGTAAGGGCAGAAGAGACCGTTGAATGCAGTGACAAAGTAGACTCCTCCCGTGTCCTCAACTTGGCCAGCCAAGTCGCCGATCTCGCTAGCTTCCTTGATGAGACCCAAACTGTCGCGAACCCACTTGACTGCTGAGCCAGCAACGGCGATCGATCCTTCCAATGCGTAGTGGACCGGTGCATCAGGGCCTGCCTTGTAGGCGATAGTGGAAAGCAAACCGTTTTTCGAGGAAACGACCTTCTCGCCGGTGTTGTAGAGCAAGAAAGCACCGGTGCCATAGGTATTCTTGGCCTCTCCTGGAGTGAAACACTTGTTGCCTACCAACGCAGCCATCTGGTCTCCCACAATACCTGCGATCTCAATTCCCTTGAGTTCACCGTGAGCAATCTTGCCGTACACTTCCGACGAACTCTTGATTTCGGGCAGAATGTCCATATCGACGCCGAAGAAATCGCACAGCTTCTGGTCCCACTTTTGGGCACGGAGGTCCATGAACATGGTTCGCGAAGCGTTGGAAGCGTCGGTAATGTGCACCTGCTTGTCGGTGAGATTGTAGACGATCCAGCTGTCGACGGTACCAAAGAGCATCTGCTTGTCGTCGTGTGCCTTGCGGACTTGGGGCAGGTTGTCGAGCATCCATCGCAGCTTGACCGAAGCGAAATAGGTGGAGAGAGGGAGACCGGTCTCTTGCCTGACAGCGTCTACACCTTTGTCGCTCTTGGCTTCGAGTTGGCGGATGGTGGAGGTGGTTCGTGCGTCTGGCCAGGCGATAGCACGGGTGAGGGCTTTGCCGGTGTTTTTATCCCAAACCACCGTAGTTTCTCGCTGGTTGGTGACACCGATGACTTTAACGTCGGCCTTGTTGTACTGGCCACCTTTTTCGAGCTTGACGAGGGTCTTGTCGATGCACTGATAGACGCAGTCGATGATCTCGTGTGCGTCCTGCTCGTGCCAACCGGGGTGTGGGTAGTACTGGTTGAACTCCATCTGGTGAGAGGCGATCACCTTGGCGTATTCGTCAAAGACCATGAATCGCACACTGGTGGTACCAGCGTCAACGGAACCTACGAGCTCCGGCATCTTGGGCAAGGTTCGAGGGGAACTTGTATTCAGAGGGGCTCTTACGGGGATAGCCAACGCAGAGCTCGGGGAAGAGTGATGATACCTTGCAACGACGACAAAGGAAAGGGGCCGCAGAGAAGGAAGAGTGCGGAGAAGCTGGGAGCGGGGGAAAGGACCAAGCGATGAGGTGCTGAAGGTAGATGACACGAATGTGTTGGTAGGAAGCAAAGATCGACCGCTTGCAAGACGCCGAGGCAAAGACGACATACACACGGTAAAGAAGAAGAGGGAGAACTGGCAAGCAGCCAAACAACAGACACCACAGAGTGAGGAGAGCTGGGAGATGGCTTGCCTCTTTTCTGCACTCTGCGCTCTCGGGGCAAGTTAGAGCCAAGCAAGCTGGCTTTCTTCTTTTGGCCCGGATGGCAGGATGAATCACACCGTGCACCAGCAGGCAGATTCAGCAGTTGCAAGCGTGTCTTCTGTGTTGCTACGCTTGGCAGCAAGCGACTTTACTTTTCCACTCCTCTCTCCACGTGACCAGCGTAAGGCCAAACGTAAGGCACCAATCAGAGCTCAACTCCTGCCAAAGGTAGAGCAGCAGCAGCAGCAGCAGCAGCAGCAGCACAGCAATGCCGGACCAAGCTAACTATCCAGCGCCAAAGGCGACACAGCAAGCCTCGCTTCCGGGCTCATGAAAAAGTAGGTCCGATTAAAGCCGTAAGGCTCAACAGTTGCTACGATCTAACATGCTTGATCTCCACCGGAAAAACATTTCGAAAAGCTCGGAATTCGGAGTTTGCTTTTGGGTTCGACAAGTTTAGCTTTCCCTGCAGCAACAACTCCAAGACGCTTTTGCTTACCACCCTTTTGCTTACCACCCTTTTGCTTACCACCCTTTTGCTTATTAGCCTCGCACTTGTCTCTACATCCCTCCGTCACGAAGAGCATCGCTACGACATCTCACCAAAGTGCAAACCGAAAAGTCTCTGAGGCCGCTCTAGCTCCCGAGCACTCGTCACTTTGCCAAGATGCTCTTCTGTCCAACATGCGCCAACTGCCTGATCATCCAACTCGATGATCACGGGAATAACAAATGGTCCTGTCATACCTGCCCATACGAGTTCCCCATCATCCAACAAATGACTACACGTCAACATCTCAAGCGCAAAGAGGTCGACGATGTGATGGGTGGAGAGGAGAGTTGGAAGAATGTCGATTCAATTGATGGTACGTTCCACCCCATCCCCAGCCCTAGCCCTTGAAGTCTTCGGTACGGGACCATGTAAACTGACATTGACAAATTTGGTATCATGTGATGGTGTAGCTCCGTGTCCGAAGTGCGAGAATCCGAAAGCGTTCTTCATGCAGTTGCAGATCCGGTCTGCTGACGAACCAAGTAAGTGACGATGATTCGGTTGTATTTGCAGCTCAAGCTGACCAAGAATTGCTTTGCTTTGTTGCAGTGACGACCTTCTACCGTTGTACGAATGGGCAATGTGCTTATCAGTGGAGAGAAAACTAGACAACTCTTTACTGCCGACGCTTCGGCAAGCTCACTTAGATACCCGCAAAGGTTTGCTTTCTTGCATCTTTGCTCTCATTTGTATCATTAGACTCTCGCATTCGATCATGCTCATCGTATCCATTATCTCTCTCCTGCTCGCTGGTCACTGTGCTGTGGTGTTCGGGGTGATGAATGCATCTCACCACATGATCAGAAGAAATGGCAATTCTCGGCCGTGAGTGTGGCTCAGCAGGACAGGCACGTCGCCGATAGGCCTCCTTTCCCCCTCTCTCTTTGTTTCCATCTCTAACCTTCTCCGCCTCTAACCTTCTCCACCTCTAACCTTCTCCACCTCTAACCTTCTCCACCTCTAACCTTCTCCACCATCTGAACAGCTTTTCTTGCGGTCAGGTACACAGGAGGAAGCATGTGTGTGATATTCTGGACGACCTCTCATCCGACCTACGACCTAGTTATAGCCTCAAATAGGGACGAGTTTCTTTCTCGACCCACCTTGCCTGCTGCTTGGCACTCGTTCTCTTCTCCCACTACCTCCTCTACCTCGTCGAGCTATGAGGCATCGCATGATATACTAAGCGCACGAGACGCAACAGGGGGAGGAACCTGGCTGGGCATCACACGAAATGGTGCATTCGCCACTCTAACCAACTTTACCGAACTCTCCGCACCCCTGCCTGAGGGAATGGACCTTTTCGAATCTCGTGGCAAACTCGTTCGGGATTGGCTTAGCTCTCAATCCTCCCTCAAAGCCAAGAGGAGTGCAGAAGAGGTGAAAGGCGAGGTGGAGAGGTATTTGAAAGGTCTTGACGGCAAACTGGACAGGTTTCCTGGCTTTAATCTGTTAGTTGGCTCAATATCAACCGAGGGAACTCTCGTGGGTTATATAACCAATCGTAATGCCGACGCAAGTCTCACTCGTAATAGAGAACCGGATATCTTCCTCCCCACCAACCCAGAAGGAAAGGTACCGGGAGGCATGTCCAACAGTGTCCTATCTCAACCCTGGAGTAAAGTGAGCCAAGGATCATCCACGTTCTTATCCACTCTCAACCGTTCGCACAGCTCAGAAGATCAAATCATCCAAGAGCTCTACAATTTGCTATGGACAAGCTCGACCCCAGCTCCAGCACAAAGATCAGAGTTACGCAACTCGGTCTTGATCTCACCACTGCAGTTACCAACGACGGCCGAGGGTGGGAGGGATTGGTATGCGACCAGAACTTCAACTGTCATTCTGATAACGAAGCATGGCAGAGCGAGGTTGGTTGAGAGAGATACCTTCGCCGTGCAAGGGGGCAAGGCGGTCTTGGTGAACGGTCCAGAAGCAAGTGCGCCGGTCAAGGGTCAAAGTGGTGGGCAGAGGTCGTTTGAATGGAAGATCGAGTAGTTATGCTTCTGGAGTTGCATGCCATCATACCCAAATCTCTCAACTCTCACACAACGATTTCAGTTGGTGCACAGCAGCAAGAATCTTTTTCAGAGAATCTTTTTTTCTGTTCTGGGGTTCGGAACATGTGTGTGAGAGTCAAGTGCGATGATACAAGAAGAGAACACAAGGGTTGTGCATCTCGACGAAAGTAGGGATGGTGTGTGTATGCAATAGAAAGTCTGACCCCCTCTTTGAATCTCGATTCCGCCTTGCACTACTTTGGAAGGTCATAAGCCTTGCTTTTTTGGGGGAAGCATGGGGGTTTAGAATCGTGGCAAGACGTCAACCGAATTCAACGCAAAGAGGAGCAAAGATCATCCAACAGCGACGGGATGCTATCGCTGCGATATCATATAATCGACAGGAACGCAAGTAAGGCATGGTGGAGAGATGCAATTACTCGTCGTCCTCCTTCTCCTCATCCTCATCCTCCTCCTCCTCCTCCTCATCATCATCATCATCGCTCTCCTCCTCCTCACGAGCAGCCTCGAGACAAGCGACGGCGATACGGTCCAAATCACGCATACCATCCTGCGAGATACGTCGTCCACCCTTAGGGTCCTTCTCGAGAACTCCGATACCCTCAAGACCCTGAACTACCTTACGCTGAACGCTACCGGAAGCATCAGCGTGGTGCGAAGGTCGGAAACCGCGGTTGGAAGCGCCACCGTGGAACTTTCGGAGGTGACCGATACCAACAGCCTTGCGAAGGTAGATGTGACGAGCAAGAGCGGCAGCACGGACGTAGAACCAGTCAGGGTTGTAAGGTGCCTGCTCTTTGAAGTGGCCGGTCTTGACAATGTCGACCCAGACAGGGACCTCGATCTTGCCTGTAATGCGGGTAGAATTCAAGAGCAAGGGAGGGGAAAGTATAGGTCAGTTTTAAGCTGCAGTTGTTGAGGTGGGATGGTTGCGGCAGTTTCTGGCAGGTCTTCGAAGCGGTTGCGGGCGGGTCTTGGCGACGCAGTGAGTTGCCATATCTGTTGCGGCTGGTCACTGCTGCCACATCCGACAAAAACTCTCTTCCAACATCTTCACAGCAGAAGCAGGTGCTTGTCAGACATTGCAAACCAGATCGGTGCCAGTCTTGAATGCGCAGCATCTCACTGTCACAAGAGTCGATCCTCCGCGCAGATGTCCTTGCTTCGTCCTGCCGTTTCCCCTTGAGACTAGTTTTGGTGCAGTCACAGCGGATTGGCGTATGTGTCCGTCGTTTCATCCTTTCCTCTGTCCGCCCTGATCGATTGCGTGCGTGCGTGAGAACAACCTGCCAGATGCCTGTCGAACTGAAACTCACCAGATCGCTTGAGGTGCTGCGCGTAAGCGTCAATGAAAGTAGCGGCGTCGACGTCACGAACGCTGCAGAGTGCGAGGAAAGAAGATTCAAGTCAGCATGCTGGGTTTGAGAAGTGTCGGTCTGATGTAAGGAGCTGAACACCAAGAGACAATGTCCCGTCGCAGCATTGATGTTGATGCCAGTTTGTGCCAAGTACTAGCAGCAGTAGGTGCAGGATAAGTGGGTCCCTGTGCGAATTGGTCGAGAGTGCTGATGGCAACTATGGTCGAAATAGGCCGCATGATGGCATGCAAGCCATGCTTGCAAATCCGCCGTGGTTCCTGACGGACAGCAAAGTCGGGTCGGATGTCTGAAACGCGCTCGTGGTGATGGATGATGCTGGTACTCGCAGGCTTCGTGAGATCGACGTTGAAATGGATACACAGCGGCAATTACACTGCTACGGCTTTCGACCAATCCCCATTGTGTGCACTGCCCGATAGCACCGGCTCTGTCGAAGATCCGTGTTAACAGCATCTTGTGCACTTGTTCCATCCAATCGAGCTTGTGCTCTTGTTCCATCCAATCAAGCTTGTGCCTCGACTCTTCCTCCTGGCTTGCCGCACACTTTGGTTTGTGAGCTCTGAACACGAATTGCTGCATCGTCGGAGGCGCGCTGCTACGTATTGGTAATGAGATGCCAGTTGCTGTCCGTTGTACATTGAATCGAAAATGTCATGCTGTCGGCCTGGATACTGTTGCTAAGTTGTTGGTCGGTCGATCGATACTGGCTGTTGGAATGCTGGATGCTGTGCGACGGGGATATGCTCTGTAGGTGTTGTTGGTGATGCTCCTTCGTTGTAGCTGATACGTACTTCGGCATGATGGGCGATGTATGTGTCTTGAGGAGAAGGCAAAGGTGACGGTGAGAAGAGTGCTCGCGGCTTAACGCGCTACGCTGCCTCGAAGTTCTCCGGCTGCTGCTTTCTGAGCGAATCTCGAATTCCAAGTCTTGGATGGCCATTCCAACTTGGCAATTCCGCCAAAGTCTCTTGCAAGCGCAGTTGAGAATTTTAGGCAGCAGACAGGCAGTTACACGGTTCAAAGGTTCAGTCCAGCTCCCAAACTTGTATTCACTACCTGCGCTTCACTAGAGCTTTTCAAATACTCCACGGCAGACGAAACGAAATTCGAGAAATACAATCTCCTCGCCCTTCTGGCAGTGCTGCAATTTGACCAGGATTTGGCGCAAGTGAGACGCTCATCGTGGGAACTTTTCCAAAAAGCTCTCGGGTCCGCCTTTGAGGTTTAATTTCATTCCAGATGCCCAGAGCAAGTTCGACTCGGCTTAACAGCCCAATCCTTCAGCTCCAGACAGATCGTCAGGGTCTGCAGCCATGTAAACCTCTCTCGCATCGGCAACTCACAGACATTGGGGATCAAGATGATAGTGAATGTCTGGGATTACTGTTACATCGCCCCTCCTGTGAAAGTGGTTCGAAAGTGTGAGATCCTGAGAGCGAAACTCTGGTTGAATAAGCATACGAGACAATCGTTGCCCATGCAATCAACTCAATGCAACTCCTCAGAGGCTCACCACTGTTCGCTCTATGGATGCCCTCTGCGCTGATTGGGCTCTTGGTACTGATACTGACCCGGAGGCTGCTGCCGGGGCATGTTGTACACCAGACTCTGTTGTTGTTGTTGTTGTTGTTGTTGTTGTTGTTGCTGCTGCTGAGGAAGCGGCTGAGGAAGCGGCTGTTGCATCTGCTGGTGAATGAGCTGCTGCACTTGTGGTGACTGTATCTGCGGCTGCTGCAACAACTGATGCATGTGCGCAGGAAGGGCTCCTGCCGCTACGTCTCCAGACGGTCGATGCTGTTGCTGCTGAGGCAGAGCCTGAGCGGCAGCTCGCATTATCAAGCTCGGCGAGTTGCCGCCATGCTGCTGCGGTTGAGGCTGGTGCGGACGCTGAGGTAATTGCTGCTGCTGCTGCTGCTGTTGTAACTGCTGCTGCTGCTGCTGTTGTAACTGCTGCTGCGCTTGTGGATTTGCGTGTGTGACGAGAGGCGATCGCGTGTTCGTCGCGGCTGCAGCTTGAACCGCGCCGAAGGTGGGTGTAGCCGGTGCTGCTGGCTGTCGACGCGGGTTGGCATGCTCAGCGAGCTTGACCAACAAAGCACCTTGCAACGACGACTGATCATCGAGCACCTCGAGCTGCTTCTGCAGCCATTGCACCCGTTCGTCGACAGTCCCGATAAACTCGGCCCTCCATGTCTCGAGCGTTGTCACTTGGTCCGCAAGGTTCTGCTGCGGAGCCCGCACGTCGGCGATCTCAGCACGCATACCGTTGATGACTACCTCAAGCTGTGTGGCCAAGGCACCGATCGCGGCAGGGATGTCGAGGCCGCTCACCTTGAGTGCAGCAGCCAGCCGCTTGAGCTTGTCAGGCGCATTCAGCAGCTCGTCTAGAGATGTGCTCTTCTCTGACGTACGCAATCTTTCGACCTCGTGCTTGAGTTCTTCCATCTGTCTTGCGTGGTCCTTTAGCAATGTACGCATCTGCTTGAGGACTGCGGCGGGCAAAACAACGGTGGCCGTCGCTGCCGCGTTTGCGTCAGTGGCATCTGAGAACGGTTGCTGTGTGGCAGCTGCTGCATTCTCGTTCGTTTTTGGTTCAGCAGTGGCGGCAGTGGCCGACACTACCGTAGTAGAGGTCGCCGTCGCCGCTGTTTCGTTCGGTTGGGAAGTGGCTTCCGGTGGTGTAGAGACATCAATCACATCGGATGCTGAATGAGTGCGCACCGGCGACTTCGGACCATCTTGGCTCGTTGAAGCACTGGCACCCTCTGTGGCTTGCGCGCAGTTCGGTCCGTTGGTTGTGCTGGCCAAACGGTCTTGCGCTGCATTCGTCTCGACGTCCATCGGCGTTGGCTCTGAGGCGCAACTGGCAACACCCTGGGGAGCAAGGGCAGCTAAAGCATCGATAGATCCGATGACAGCATCGGCGACGATAGCTCCAGACCCTTCTGCTGCTGACTGGCCAGACAGATATTCACCTCTGGTGGCCTTCTCCTTCCACCTACGTGCAAGCGCCCGAAGACGATCATCCATACGTGCATCGTTCTCAAAAGCAGCCTCGCCAACAGCCATATCCTTGAGCTCCTCAAGTCGCAGTTCGATGTTCTGATGGAAGTCTCGCTCCCATTTGCGGAATTGTGCTTGTGTGACTGGAGCTGAAGGTGTAGCCGGCCTGGTTGCGGTCGTTGCAGTCTCGGTGGTACGAACAGGTGCAGATGTGGATGTACTTGCTGGAGTAGAAGCAGCGTCAGAGGCTTCGGGTCGCGGAGCCGGTCGGATGCGAGGATCCTGTGGAGGGGAAGCAGCGCGGGGCCGAGAGGTCGATGCTGAGCTGAGACGCGAGGGTGCGGTAGAGTTGGCAGCTGCGGAAGTCGAAGCACCTAATGCCTGCTGAGCAAGAGAGGGCTGAGCAAGAGAGGGCTGAGCACCTGCTCTGGCCTGAAGAGTAGCAACATCCTTTTCGATTTGCGTGATGCGCCGCTGGTTGTCCATGATTTGCTTCACGTCCTTATCAACATCCCTGCGCAACTGCTTGCTAAAATCAGTGTAGTCCTGTCGAAGACGATCGCCATCTCTGATAGCGCCAGAAGCATCCTTGGCGATTTTGGCAATGTCGCTCTTCAGCCTGTTGGTTTCGGCATAGGCGATGCGCGCCTTGGATTCGATTCCGTCGTAGCGCTTCTGCTCGTCTTCGCGATCGGCTTTGGTCCTGGATCGAAGCTCATCGATGTTGGCCTCGATGGGAACGGTGGCGGCTGCCAGAAGAGCAGGGAAGAAGTGTTTGGTAATATCGTATTGCCAGTCGATGCTCATGCGATGGAGCTCGTCGTTGTCGACCTTGATCTTTTGCTGGAGCCGCTGCTGTTGCTGCTGGTGACTTGTCAATTTTTCGAGGTTCTTTGTATCCTTACTGCCGGACTTGTTGAGGTAATCCTCGAGGCTCTTGACCTTTTTGACAAGGTCAGAGAGCTCTTTGCGATCCTCCGAGATGGACCAGCGCTTGATTTCGATCTGTTCGAACAAGTTTCGCTCCGAGGGGGACCCCGCTAGTCTACTGACGATCTCGCTTCGTGGATCGGCCGCATTTGAGGGTGTGCGAGGAACAATTGGCTTGGAACGTTCCTTGGGAGGATGGCGGGCATACGTCGAGCTGCCATCATTCGTTGAGGATGAGCTGGAAGTCGAGGCATGATTATGGCTGTGGGCATCGACAGTAGCGCCGAGCGGGATGGTGTTGGTGGCGGCGACCGGTTTCCTGGGAAGCGTCTTCGCAGGCCCATCATGATCTCGATGGAGACGAGTTGGCGGTGGTGATCGGGAGCGGCGACGATCTGCAGACGGCCAACTGGGCGCATCGCGGCTGAACCCATCACGTCCGCTGGCGCAAGGGTTCATTTGCGCGAGAGCCAGCGGTCACCCTTGTGAGATATTGCTTGTGAGATATCCCTTGTGAGATATGGGAACGTATGATAATGCGATCGAAGGCGCTGATAGCGACAGCTCTGTGCAAGATTGGCAGGCAGTCGAGGCATCCGATTCGGTCGGGGAAACTAGATCATGGGATCGATCGATAGCTGTCGGAAGTCGATGGGGCTGCTCAGGAGGAATGCTATCGGTGACTTGCTTGGTGGATGCACAATTTGGGGCAGCGTTTTCTGGTGGATGCTAGGTAAGGGCGAGAGAGGGAGATGCTGGTCGCCGATGAAGAAGGATGATGAGAGTCTTGACAGGTGGTGATGATCGAATGCCAAAAGCCAGGCTGAGTTTCTCCACGCGGCCAGCTGCCTTGGTTTTTTTTGGTTTCTTTTTGGCTTTTCAAGAAAACTCGCCTGTCTGGCTCGGCCAAATTTGAGGGAAGAGCGATGGCGCGAATTCCTCTGCTCTTTCGCTTCGCGTAGATGACTTTATCCTATCTTGGCTGTCAAACACGCGTGAAAAAGTGTCCCTTGACAACCCCCCAAACCCCGATATCATACCCCGATATGATACCCCGATATCATACCCCGATATCATACCCCGATACTATTGCCGTGCCTTTTTTGCAGCCTGAATTTTTCTGACCATTTATTTTCCCTTTTATTTTTTAAGTAAGGGTTCTCCAACTCCCTCTTCCGGCAATCAAAACTCACTGCTAAAATTTCTCAGAGAGTCGATTTGTTTTTTTAATGACGTTGAAAGGCAACCAACCATTTCTTCATGATACCATTAGCTCTACGTAGTCAGCCACGCCCTCTCGACTCGCAGCACAAGATGAAGAAGCCAGTCCGAGAGCGATACAACGCCAAAGCGCGGCGTTCATCCGTCGGTGGCTCATCCCATAAGAACAAGCGCTCCCTACGTCAACGCGAGGCTGATGCCTACGACTCCAACACACAGCTCATCGTCCCTGGTAGCCAAGAGGATCTCCAGCGAAAGCAAGCAGAGCAGCAGAGAAGAGAGCTGCTCGAATCCTCCGGTCAGGATGCATCAGCTCCTATGTCCTCCAAGAAGCGCAAGCGTCTTGATGCCTACATCGCTTCCCGTCTCAAGAAGGAGGAACGCGTCAAGATCATGCAGAAGCTCGCTCAGACTTCAGCCGAGGTCGATCGAACTACGCTCAAGTCTGCGGCCACATTAGGTACTGGCAGAGCAAAGACAATGGAGGAGAGGATAGATACTGCAGGTCAAAAGGCCGACAGGAGTGCAAAGCGACGCAGGAAAACCATGAATGGTGCTGCTATGCAGATCGAGGAAGATGACGATGATGCTGATCTTGATGATATCCATCATGACAAAGCATACAGTGAGGCCGACGATGATCAATATGAGGGCAATTTTACACCACCAGAAGATGTAGAGGACGATGGCGAGGACCATGGCCCAGTCGGTGAGGTCGAGGAAGACCCAGCTCGAAGAGCAAGGATCATTGCTGCAGCAAGTCTATTCGACAAGTCAAAGCAGCCGGCAGCCACCACTACAGCTTCATCAACATCGGCTCCCGTTCTCGGCTCTGCTCTCGCACCAACACTTGCAAAGGATGCCAATGGCAATCCCATCATGCCCGCTATGCGCAAACGAACCAAGAAGCCTAAGACTACGCGACGTATCAACGCCGCCACTCGATTGCAGCAAGCCGGTGAGAGCGACTCTAGCTTCGACAGCTCCCAATCCGAGTCCGACTCTGTCGCTGCCTCTGCATCCCGCTCCCGATTGATAGAGAAGGATGTCATTGGACCAGCACCTCGCGCATCCCTCTCGAGGAAAAACCAGGAGAAGCGAATGGCTCAAGAGCAGGGGCAGCAGCAACAAGTCGACGTCAAAGGCAACGCAAAGGCTGCCGTGTCTGGACCGCGCTGGCACCAGCAAGACTCTGACGATGAGAAGGATGCAGCTCCGCTCGACCGAGATATCGTAGATGACGAGGCTGTGGACCAAGACGACTCGGACGTCGGCTCAGAAGAGCCTGATACAGACCAAGACGAAGAGGCGGTCTTCCTGGAAGCTATGCGACGTAGGCGATTGTTGCCATCGAGAGCATCTTCAATTAATGAGGCACACGCTTCTTCCTCCGCCAACTCAAGCGAGTGCAAGTCCAAGGATGATGCCACGCAGGTAGAGCAGGAGGATTCTAAAGACGATGAAGATGAAGAAGACGAAAGCGACGACGATACGTCTGACAGTGACCAAGTCGTAGATAACGAGGAAGATCTTGATGACGATGAGCAAGACGACGATGACGATGAAGAGGCTACCGAAGAGTACCGCTCTCGTCGACGCGGCATCAGTACCACAAAGCGCAGCTCTGGCTTCAAAGACTGGGCTCGTGCTGCTCTTGGCATCCGAGGTTCCGCCGGACCCGCTGCTGCCAAGAATGAATCGGCAGACGGTGGCCAAGAAGACGACACTGCCTACAACCTCGAGCCTGTCGCAGGCTTCAAGATCAAGGTTGGCGACATTATGCCCAAGGATGGTGTTGCACGTGGTCCCCTCGGTCGTGATGAGGAGAATGTACGGCAGCGCTCGGCATTTGCTGCCAAGCACTATGCTGAGCTCGAGGCTGCTGTCGCATCTGAAAAAGCTCAAGGGAAGCCAGAGTCTAACGACGTCGCCTCCAGCTCCAAGCCAGGTGCCAGCACAGCAAGCACCACAGCACCCAACGTCTTGACCCATGTCGAAGTTCAACGCTCCGAAGGGCTCACCGTAGCCCGCCTCCGTCTCCCCGTCGTAGCCGAAGAAGACACCATTGTGCGCACCATTATGGAGAACGCCGTCACCGTCATCTGCGGTGAGACCGGTTCAGGTAAAACCACCCAAGTACCTCAGTTCCTCTACGAAGCTGCCTTCGGCTCAAAGAACAGTCTCAACCCGGGCATGATCGGTGTCACCCAACCACGTCGTGTTGCTGCCGTCAGCATGGCTCAGCGTGTCGCATCCGAGCTTAGCCTACTCGCAGACCGAGTTTCGCATCAGATCCGGTACGATGCCACCGTCAGCGCGGATACAGCGATCAAGTTCATGACCGATGGTGTCCTGTTGCGAGAGCTAGCGACCGACTTTTTGCTGTCCAAGTACAGCGCTATTATGGTCGATGAGGCGCACGAACGCAGTATCAACACAGATGTGTTGATTGGTGTGCTTAGCCGTGTTGTGCGGTTGCGCGAGAAGAGGTGGTTGCAAGGTGTGGCTGATGCGCGACCGCTAAGGCTTATTATTATGAGTGCGACGCTTCGGGTGTCTGACTTCACGGAGAATACGACACTATTCCCCATCCCCCCTCCAGTGATCAACATCGGAGCACGTCAACATCCCGTTACGGTTCACTTTAACCGCAAGACTGTCCAGGACTACATCACCGAGTCCATCAAGAAAGCAACCAAGATCCACGCGCGCTTGCCACCAGGAGGCATTCTCATCTTCCTCACCGGTCAACAGGAGATTACGACCGTCTGCAAGAAGCTCGAAAAGCGATTCGGAAGAAAGGCGATCGCACAGAAGAACAAGGATCGAGAGCGCGTGCAGGGCAAACACAAGAATCGTCGCACCGACAATGACGATGATGACGGAGGCGAGAGCAAGGCTGAAAAAGTCAGCATCACCGCTCGAGATGGCGATGTCGAGGCGGAAGAGGTTGATCTTGGTCTCGACCGTGACTTGGCTGCTGATGTCGATGATGGTGCGATGGCAGATGGAGACGATCCAGATGCACTCGACACCGACGACGAAGCGGGCGGCAGCGACAGCGAAGCCGAAGCCCGACACGACGATGACCTCCCCGACGAGCTCAAGGACGACACTGACGTTCCTATGCACATCTTACCACTCTACTCTCTTCTCCCCTCCGAAAAGCAAATGCGCATCTTCGAAGCGCCTCCCGTCGACACTCGTCTCGTCGTAGTAGCAACTAATGTCGCCGAAACCTCTCTCACCATCCCGAACATCCGCTACGTCATCGACTGCGGTCGATCCAAAGAACGCCAGTACGACCTCATCAGCGGTGTTCAATCCTACCAAGTCTCTTGGATTAGTAAAGCTTCCGCATCCCAACGAGCGGGTCGTGCTGGTCGTACCGGGCCTGGTCACTGTTACCGTCTCTATTCCTCAGCGGTTTACGAAGATCATTTGACACAGTTCAGCAGTCCAGAGATCTTGCGCACACCCGTGGATGGCCTGGTATTGTCGATGAAGGCGATGAACATTGATAATGTGGCGAACTTCCCCTTTCCCACACCACCGGACAGGATTGCGCTCAAGAAAGCAGAACAGATTCTTACTCACCTCGGTGCGCTTGAGGCTCCCGCTGTCGCTTCAGTCAGTATCGGGAAGAACAAACGCAAGCTCAATCACGCTCAAGTTACGGAGCTGGGTCGAACAATGACACTGTTCCCCGTCTCGCCGAGATATGGAAAGATGCTGGCGCAAGGGCAGCAGCATGGTTGTTTGCCGTACATTGTGGCTATGGTCGCTGCGTTGAGTATTGGCGATCCTTTCATTCGCGAGCAGTTGATCGAGGAGGAGTATGGGGAGCGCAGAGCGAAGAATGCAGATGCTGAAGGTGGTGAGGGTGGCGACCGAGACGACTACGATCGAGCATTTGGTAAGATGGACGGTGACGAAGAACTTGGTTCCGAACTACAGCATCTCACTAACAGCGAAAAATTGGACCAGGAACGACGCAAAGCAAGACGTGCAAAGTACTTTGCCACCATGAGAAAGTTCGAGGCGCTTGGAGCTGGACTTTCCGACACGTTCCGCCTGCTGAGCGTGGTGGGAGCGTACGAGTATGCTGGAGGAAGCCTTTCGTTTTGTGACAAGAACTTTCTCAGACCGAAAGCCATGGAAGAAATCCACAAGCTTCGTGCTCAACTCTGCAGTCTCATCTGCTCCACTTTCCCGGACCTTTCCTCCTCGCTTTCTAATCCCAAGCTGGCACCACCGAACGAAGCGCAACTCAAAGTGATCCGCCAGCTTATCGCATCAGCCTACATCGACCAGGTCGCAGTCCGAGCTGATCTCATCTCAAACGAAAGTGTCGTTTCATCGTCCGTAGTCAACTCTGACGAACGCACCAACCAGATGCTTTACCGTCTTCGCACCAAAGGCGGTGGAGACAGAATGCAGTCCACCCGCGGAGTGCCCTACAAAGGCATGGGTGTACCCGGATTCGCCTTCATCCACCCGACTTCTTCTTTCTACCACACAACTCCTCCTTCCTGGGTCGTGTTCTCCGAGGTGCAGAAGAGTAACTCGAAATTCGCCAAGACGATCGAGGAAGAAGAAGCAGGCGCAGGAGAAACAGTCTGGTTGAAGACTCTGACGAAGATCAACCCGGTTTGGCTAGCTAGGTTGGGTAAAGCGCTGTGCACGTTCAGCAAGCCGACTCCTGTTGCTGGTAGTGGGGAGTTGGACAAGTTGAAGGAGAATCTGCAGGCGGTGAAGGCGGGTCAACAGAAAGCTGGCGAGTCGACAAGAGATGTGCTTGTGACACCGAGGTATGCTGTGGGAAGTGAGAATGATGGTATGGCTGGCGGATTGGGGTGGCAATTGCCTGCGATTAAGGCCAAACAAAAGTTCGTTGACGGAAGATGGGTGTTGCTTCTCCCTTAGACTCGTACTTTCCCTTGGCAATAGATGCTGCCATGCAGCAACACGGGTGAAAGACGTTACTAAAAGTGCTTGCATTGCGTTGGGTGTGTATGTGCGCGTGATTAGATGCTGTGTTCCTCACCCCACTCTTCTGGCTGTTTCCCTTGTACCACTTGCAATCCCTCTTGATCGAATTCGACGTTCTCAGGATGGCCCATCGCCCTACCGATGAACTTTGTATGTGAGCCATAGGCCAACAATGCATCTGTAAGGGGATGTCGAATCTCCATTCTAGTGAAAGCCAGCGTCTTGCCCATACTAACCACCTGACCGTTTACATTCACCGTTTCGCCTTTCCCTCCACCAGACTTGACGTAAGTTGTGTTGATATCTGTGCTCACCCCTGTCGAATAGAGGCCTTTGGAAGCGATAGCAAGCGAACCTATTGTGTCGGTCAATGTTGCAATACATCCGCCATGCAGGGTTCCGAGGCGATTGAGGTTGTGAGAACCGATCTGAAAAGAGCCTGAAATCCGCCCGGGAGTGGCTTTATTGATTTGAAGCTGATGGATAGTGACAGAGTCATGGCCTGAGAACGATTGGAAGCCGCGACATATGCGTTGAACGAATCGGAGACATGCTGAAGGTTGGCTGATGGTCATTGTGACAGCGAGGAGTGGAGGAGCGAAGGATGCGGGGAAAATGGTGTTGGTGTCAGAAGTGTTGGTCTTGATGATGACGACCGGTTACTCGGATAGCAATCGTTTGCCTATGCTCCACCTTTTCTTCTTCTCGGCCGGTATCCCTAGGCATTGCCCAAGAAAATCGGTCACTGTGGGGGAACGCGGCGCTATTCCCCGCACTTGCCTTCCGCGTCTGATATTCGTCGGCGTGGGGGGACACCAGCCAGCCCACCATCTTTTGTGTAGCCATAGTTCCACACAGAAGGGACCAGCGTTGGTGGGCTAGCTACAACAAAGAACCCACGGGCAGAGGACACTTCAGGAACGGAATCGGGTAATAACTCGGTTGTCTAAATGTCTCTGTTCCCCACGCCACCTGTGGCTGGCTAGGACGGTATCTTGTCATGACCATCGACAAACCGTCAAGAGGACTCAACCGCAAAGGATCGAAACGCCGGATGAAGAATGAGCATTGGGTAGGGGAGGCTTGGGCGGAAAAGGCGCGGGTTCGTCTGATGATGATAGCACGTTGGCGAGCCACACCAAATCTGTCGAGGTTGACCGAGGTCCCACGCTTGGATCTCTGCTAGTGTTGCGGCTGCGGGTTGAGGTCGGTCCGGTCCTCTCTAGGTCCAGCAGACTTGGTCCTCCTCCACCCCGCGCTCAGGTGTTATATAGTCAAGCCTCCTCACAATCTTTTCCTCTATAACATCTTCTCCGTTATCATCCTGGACATCTGCATCCAACACCATCCATACTCGCCCTCCGAAAATGACGCAAACAACCAGCGGCTACCAACCAACCCCACTCAAGGCTGGCGTCTGGACCCCTCTCGCTACCCCCTTCGACTCGAATGAAGAAATCGACTATGCTGCCTGGAAGAAGCACGTTCTCCGCATCGCCTCTGCTGGCTCTGGTCTCGTGATCATGGGTACCAACGGCGAAGCTATCCACCTGTCTTCCTCTGAACGACACGAACTTGTCGCCTCTGCTCGTCAATACCTTTCCGAAGCTGGTCTCTCCTCTACCCAGATCATCGCCGGAACTGGTGTCGGTTCCGCCAAGGAGACGGCCGCTAACTGCATCGATGCAGCTAGTGCCGGTGCAGATGCAGCGATCGTCATTCTCCCTGGCTACTTCGCCGGAGGTCTCGGCAAAGACCGTGCTGCAATGCAACAATTCTTCACCTCTGTCGCCGACAAATCCCCTATTCCAGTCATGATCTACAACTTCCCCGCATGCGTTGGCGGCATCGATCTCGACTCTGACCTTATCATCTCCATCTCCCAACACCCTAACATCTGCGGTGCAAAGCTCACCTGCGCCAGCGTCGGTAAAGGTGGTCGTGTAGCTGCCGCAATCAAGCGTCCCGGTTTCCACGTCTGGTCTGGTTTCGCAGACATCATTCTCCCTTCCATGTCCGCTGGGTTTAATGGAGTTATTGCTGGATCTGGTAACATCATTCCCAGAACCCTCGTTCATCTGCATACCCTCACAAACGAGGCACTGGAGCAGAAGGACTGGGAGAAGTTCGCTCAGGCCCAGGAACTGCAAAAGGTGGTTAGCCATGCCGATTGGGCCATGTTCAAGGCTGGTATCCCCGGTACAAAGTGCGCTTTGGCAAGGTGGTACTATGAGATGGGTAACTGTAGGATGCCGTTGCAACCAGCAAGTAAGGAGGTTTTGGCCATGTTGGAGAGCGAGTTGAAGGAGGCATTGGAGTTGGAGAGAGGTTTTGAGAGGCAGGCTCGTGTTACTCCTGCCAGGGCTTAGTGTCGAGGGTGCGGGAGAACAAGGTTCGGTCTTCGGTCGATCATTGCATTGCATTCCATCTGACCGTCATTGATGTTCCGGCGTTTGAAGCTTGTTCAAGGTTCAATTCCATATCTTGAGCATATAGACGATTAACTCGCGTGTGTGCGGGTTGAGAGCAGCTACTGATTCCAGCTAGATTGGATGCATACTATGTATACAGAGCTGTTGCCCTTACTGCCCTAATCGAGACCACATCTTCTGAGAGAGCTCAAGGAACGCTGTTCGGATGTGATTCGGCTGCTCTGACCCTGGCTTCTCCGTTTCAAACGTCGGCAACTTGTCTCTCAGCGTTACAGGTATCCCCTCGTCCCCACCTGCACTCAACTGCGGCTGCAGCGGTATCCTTGCCAACACATCTAACTTTTCTCTCGCCGCATACTGCTCCACCGCTGTCGACTTGCCAAATAGCTCAAAAGTTCTACCTGTATCTGGGCTTATGAAGTGGCTCATATTCAGCACCAAGCCTGCGATCGGAACATTGGTCTTCTTGAACATGCTAACGCCCTTTTTCGCATCCAGCAGTGCGACTTCTTGCGGGGTGGTGACAATAAGCGCCTGATCCACTTTGACGAGTTGAGCTAGCGAGAGAGCGACGTCTCCTGTACCTGGTGGCATGTCAATCACAAGAACGTCCAGTGGTCCGTTCAAAGTGTCGATCTCGGTCGGAGGTGCAGAAGGTGCCGGTGCGTGAGGATTCAGCCTCCAATCAACGTCAAATAACAATTGTTGAGTAGCTTTCATCACCATCATTCCTCTCCAAGCTACCACTCTTTCTTCTTCCTCCACAGCCTCATCCCCTGCTGCGGTGGAGCGGGGAGCGTTGTTGCCGAGTAAGAAGCCCATAGACATACAGCTGACACCGTGATTCTTCATCGGTATTAATCCGCCGTAGGATGTCAATTCTGGCTCTCCCATGCCTTCCAATCCCATGAGCTTGGGTACGCTCGGTCCAAAGATGTCGAGGTCTAACAGGCCTACTCTCGGCTTTCGTGATGACGAGGAGGGCTGTGTGAGCGAGAGTGCGGCGGCAAGGTTGGCGGAAATGGTCGACTTTCCGACACCGCCTTTGCCGGACGAGACGCAGATGATGTGTTTGACATTGGGGATACGACGTGGCTGTGGTGGGCCGGAACCTCGGCGAGGCATGGTCGGAGGTATGCCTTGGTTGTTGCGTGGTAGGCCGAGAGGGTTCTCGTGAGACCGGTAGGTAGTACTTGAGCAGAAGGGTCGTCTCGATGGTCCTGCGAGCGGCCATACGGACCGTGTGGTCGAAGGTGGCAGCGTCGATGGTGCGGCGCTGGCAGCTCGAGGCACAGCTCTGAGAGCTTGATGCGAAGCCATGGTGGGCGACATGGTCCTGTTGAAGGCCTGAGAGGAGCCGAAGTTGGGGGGGAATGTGTGAGTCGGAAGCATCACATGTTGAGCGGGAAGAAGCTGTTCAAGCGTGGCTGTCACTTCCGACTTCCGAGCATTTTCCCCCGTGGCTCAGCCTCCACATTCTCCATTCATAAGGGTCTTGGGGTCTTGAACGACCTTCCCAGCTTGAAGCTCACTCAAACCACACTCCTCCATCCGTCTTTTCCACCATCAACACCCTTTGCGTGGTGCCAATAGTCTCCAAGGGTCCCATGCGGCTGTGCAGCCTATAGAGCAAAAGACCTTGTACTCCTTTCCCCGGGACCTGCCCACATATTCATCTAGACTCGATGGACGCTGTTCGACACTGCCGATAGCAGTTGGCGCTCATCATGCCGCCTAAGAAGCGCTCTCATGGGCCATCACAAGCCTCGACACCTACAAAAAAGCAGAAGAGTGGGCAGCAGTCAGCCTTGACTTCGTTCTTCACCAGCCCCTCAACCTCATCAGAGGCCACGCTCACTACAGAGCCGACATTACCCACACGGAATTTAGCTAAAGCGAAGCAGAAGCAGAAGCAGATCACTATCAACTTGGACGAAGATGAGCATGTGAAGGCTATCGGGACGCAGGAGGCAGATGACGCTGCATTTGCAGTTCAACTGGCAGCTCAGGATACGGCTGTCTCGGTCGAGGAGTACAGAGCTCGCATGCAGGAGGACGAGGAGATGGCCAGACGCTTGCACTCAGAGTGGTCGGGAGAGACAATCCAAAGCAGTAACGATTTGAATGGCTCCAACCAAGCTGGTTCTTTCGTCCCGTCACGGAGAAGGACACCTTCACGGACGCCCTCATCTCCGACAAGAGAGGATCTTTCCACTCCATTCTTTCCCCGCAAGAAGGCTCCTTCGACACCCTCTTCACCAAGCAACAAGTCTCTTCCAACTCCGAAAACCGTCGATCTGGCCGCTTTGGACGCATCGATACAAGCCATTCCTCTCGGCGATGACATATTTGTTTTCGATCCTTGGGCTGTCGATACATCGATCTGGCCGACCATCGTAGGCAAGGGCGGAGAACTCACGCCAACGACACCGTATGCGCTGCTTACACACGCATTTGTGACGATCACAGCCACCCGCTCACGTCTCACCATCACAACGCTCCTCACAAATCTTTTGCGAACGGTTCGAGCTCACGATCCGGACTCACTGCTACCAACGGTGTATTTGGTGAGCAACCACATCGCTCCACCCTACGATGGCGTCGAGCTCGGTCTGGGCGGATCGATCATCAACAAAGCTATCAAATCTGTCACTAACAAGTCTGCTCGCTTCATGAAGCAGGCTTGGGACAAGACGGGCGATCCTGGTGATGTGGCATATGAGGCGAAGAAGGACGTCAAAGCTCTAGTGCGTCCGGCTCCTATCACTGTGCAGAGGCTGTTCTCAAACCTTCACAGCATCGCTCGACTGAGTGGTCAAGGTAGTGCGAGCCAGAAGCTCGGGTACGTGACTAAGCTGCTTGTTGCCAGTCGTGGAGAAGAGACACGTTTCCTTGTGCGGACTTTCATCAGCCATCTGCGGATTCAAGCAGTGCGGACGACGATTGCTACGGCTTTGGCTCGGACCTTTGCACTGGTGGAAGAGAAGGCGCCTGTGGTCAAGCCAAGTACCCAGAGGGAGAAGGAGAGGGCGGCATTGCTACTAGTCTACCCGCACGAGCGAAAAGGCATTCTGGCGAACGCGACCAAGCCGAAAGAAAGACAGGACCCAAATCGTCTCGCATTGATGGAGCGTCTGGCAAGAGCAGAGAAGCTAGTACGGGAAGTACGAGCACGACATCCCAACTTCGGTCTCATCGTTCCGTCCTTGGTCCAGTATGGGCTTGCAGGTCTCTCAGAGCACGTGCCGCTACGGGTCGGTACACCTATCTCTCCAATGCTTGGCTCAATTACCCGCTCGCTCGGTGCCATGCACGAGAAGCTAGGACCCAGAGCTTTCGTCTCCGAATTCAAGTACGATGGACAGCGGTGTCAGATCCATGCTATCTACGTGCCTAGAAGCGCAGGACCGGAAGCGCGTCGAAGTGTCAAAGAGGAGACTGCGGCAAGCAATGGTGGTGCCAAGTTTGGAAAGTGGGTCGGCAAGAATGGCCAAGTTTACGTGCGACTCTTCAGCCGACATCTTGAAGAAATGACGGACAAGTATCCAGATATTACAGATATGGTGCCGATCTTGATGGGACAAGAGAGCGAGTCGAATGCCAACATCGGAGCAAGCGCTTTTGTGGATGCTGCAGCGTCCTCGACGAAGCTTCAATCAGATGGAACCGTGGCGGAAGCGGACGAATTGAAATGCCCGACGGAGGACGGAAAGGGAGAACCAATAACGTCGTTCATTATGGATGCCGAAGTTGTCGCCATGGATCTCGATGGTCGATTGCTACCATTCCAGACTCTGGCGAATCGAAGCCGCAAGGACGTCAATCTGCACGATATCAAGGTCAAGGTTGGCGTGTTTGCGTTCGATCTCATGTACTTGGATGGCGAGTCATTGCTCAAATCTTCGTTCCGGACACGACGCAACCTGCTTCATAGCCGTTTCTTGCCTTTGTCGCCACAAAGTCCGCTGATTGCACGATTTGCACATGTTCAATCCTGCGAGAGTACAGACCCTGACGATGTAGCCCGCTTCTTCAGCCAGGCACAGGAGTACAAGTGTGAAGGCATCATGGTCAAGTCGCTCGATCATCACTGGGAGGCTCCAGTGGACAGAAAAGATGGTGAGGACGATGCTGATGCGGGCGAGTTTGGAGATGGGACTGATGTCGGTGAAGATGGACTAGCTCCAAACAAACTTCACAAACTTGCGGATGTGGTCGATGACGACTTGGCGATGGACAACGAAGATGAAGCCGTGCAGACACTAGATGACGGCGGCAGCAAGAATAGTGAGCGCAACGGTGGCAACGGAAGCAATCCGCTCGTTCCAGCTGAAGTCGAAAAGGGCGTCAACGGCAGAGGTAAAGCACTGCTATCTACCTACGAGCCGGACAAGCGCTGCGAATCATGGCTCAAAGTCAAGAAGGACTATGTCGACGGACTTGGCGACTCTTTGGACCTTGTTCCCATCGGTGCATGGCATGGTATGGGGCGTAAAGCGACCTGGTGGTCTCCCATCCTGCTCGCTCTCTACGATCCGGAAACAGGTGTGTTGCAAGCAGTGTGCAAGTGCATCTCAGGCTTCACTGATGCGTTCTACAAAGACCTCAATGTTCGGTATGCTGAAGGATCCGAGACCTGCGTTCGCGCACGCTGGGGAGAGCCCTCAGCCTTTGGTATCGAGCTCGAGACAGGCAATCTTTGGCCAGATGTGTGGTGGAAGCCGAGCGAGGTATGGGAGCTTCGAGGAGCAGATGTAACCATCAGTCCCAACTACACTGCTGCGATCGGGCTGGTGAGCGAGGAGAGAGGACTTTCGATCAGGTTCCCTAGATTCATGAAGAGGAGAGAAGACAAGACGATTGAACAAGCGAGTACACCTGCAATGCTGGCCAAGATGTACTTTGAGCAACAGAAGGCAGCGCCAGCTCCGGGAGAGGGTGAGGGGGAGGGTGAGGGAGAAGGCAAAGGGGCTGATGAGATGGGAGGCAGCGATCAAGAGGCAGGTAGGAAGCTGGAGTCGATTAAGCCGGCTATCGATGATGAATTTGAGTTCTGACGATGGTGTTGAGCGTCGCCATGGATCGCAATCCTGGAGCTGAGCGTTGTCACAAACGCAGCAGCCCCTGGTGCATCTTATCGGGCAACCTAAGCCAGCAGCAAATCAGATCGATTCTCAGGCAGTAGATTTGACCTGACTGAACCCTTGTTTTCTTGCTTGGGCAAATTGCAAATTCCTAATGCCCTTGCTGCGTTGGTTCGATCGGCTCTGATTGGAAATGTTGACCCTTACGGCCGATCATGGTTTGCCTGCCTTCTTGCTCCTGACATGAAGTTGAAGATGCGTTGGCATCTCAAGAGGGATGCATGAGTTACAGCCGAGACACCAAGGGACCAAGTGCATGCATAAGCAAGAGACACAATAAAACACATGAAGGTTGTCATAGCAATGGCTCAGGGGCACCACATGAAGTAGCAACACAGGGGGTACAAAGGAAGTGACTCATCCTGGCTCAAATATGACCAAGGTGGCAACAAGGTATATATATGCATTTGTCATTTAGGTTCACACCATAAAATACCAAGCATTACAAAAATAACAAACAGCATGACACTTAAAATTGCAAAGAATCACAAGTGAGGACTATTGGAGTTCTGAGGCAATACATGGCAAGATAGTGCAATGACCACATCAACACCATTATTTGATGGTGTTGATGAGGAGTTCAAGCATATTAAGAATGAACCAAAGGTTTCAAAACAACAATTATGGCATGAGCATCTCAGACACCCAGGAAGAGACAAATCCAAGGCAATCACAGACAAACTAAAAGATAAGCATATCATGGAATTGGATCCAAACACTGCTCTGACATGTGAGCAGTGCAAACAATCCAAGGGCACAAGTGTGCAGATGGGGCAAGGTAGTGACAATAGAGCCACCAGACCCCTGGATCTCATCCACATTGACCTGATCATTGACTCCTCTCATGTGACAGAGCATCTGTGTACACTGGTGCTTGTGGATGATCACAGCAAGTATGTGTGCATTCAACCACTATTAAAGAAAAGCCATGCATTCACACAGCTCAAGAAGATAGTCACATTCCTTGAAACACAGACAGGAAGGGAGCTAAAGGCCATACAATCAGACCAAGGAACAGAGTGGAGAACCAATGAAGCTTTGGAATGGATGTACAGTAAATGGATACAATGGCAAACTACAGTGGGATACAACAGCAGACAAAATGGATGGGTGGAGGGAATGAACAGGAGCCTTGGAGAGAAGATGTGGATGCTGTTAACACAGAGGAGATTGCCAAAGAGATTCTGGCCATACATGATCCAAGCAGCAGCATTCAAGATAAACATCACTCTGAGTGTTGACAACAAGTTGTCAGGGGTCTCGCACCTGAAACCCAGGTCGGTCTGTCGAGATACTCGGTGACTATCAAACTGTGCGACAGCTATTGTCTCAGTATCGGTGACTATCAAGTTGTGCAGTGACAACAGGTGGTGTTCGTTGTATATACTATTGTAGGTTTCGGCTGACCTCTGTGGACACTCCGTTCAGGGGTAGCTCAGCACGATCAATATCAATGTTATGATGACACCAAGGTCTGGTGTGAGTGTTGATGATGATGAGGTTGATGGTGTTGGTGATGAGATTGGTGATGTCGATGATAATGAGGTTGATGGTGTTGGTGATAAGGTTGGTGGCGTCAACATGAGTGTCCAGTGTGTTGACTTGATGCTTGAAGTGATCCCCAGACTGCAGTGGACTACTGCCTTCAGTTCTATCTATATCCGGACCACTAACCTGCTATGGGCGCCTTCGGACGTCAGGTAGTGGTGATACAACACACACACTACGATGAGGAGCAACCTTGATAGATTGCTGCTATGCTGACTGTAACTAATGAGTACTTGTGTTTCTAAAGTATTGACTAGTTGTATGGTGAGTAGAGTGGATGAGGATCCACTCGACCTTTGATGATGAGAAAGCATGGTTATATACCTCTACTCAGCATCGCCAGCGATGCTGCTCCTGCTCTCTCTCTCCAGAGAGTACCTTCTTCATCGAGTACTGCTCAGGGGCCTCTCCTGCTTGGCACCCCTGTGCCTCTTGAGCTGTGTCGATTCCTTCGACACTGCTCCTCCTCCTCATGACCTGATGTCAACTCCTTCGACACTGCTCCTCCTCCTCATGACCTGATGTCGACTCCTTCGACACTGCTCCTCCTCCTCATGACCTGGTGTCGACTCCTTCGACACTGCTCCTCCTCCTTTGATCAGTGACAGTTCCTTTGGCTCTTGTCTCTCGAGCCCCTGAGTGGTAACCATCTGCCTGCTCCTTGAGCTTGGTCCTCCTCGTGGCTGTGCCTGCTCCTTGAGCATGGTCCTCCTTGTGGCTGTGCTTGGCCCTCCTTTGCATGTGAGTCCATAGGAGTCCATGGTCTCCATGGAGACTGCACTACGACCATGCTCTCTACTGATCTCGACTAGATCTTCGATACCTGTGCTCCTTCCATATGAACCTGTGACCCTCCTGCTTCTTGAGCATCCAGGCCCATGACACTACCCCCCTCTTAAGAGCCGAGCTCCGTCGAGGCATGCTCTGGTCTGGTCCATGCTGACTCCTCCTCCTCCTCGACAACATCGCCAACATCCTCCTTCCTCTTCCTCTCTCTACTCCTCCTGTTCTCTCCTCCTTTCTCTACTTCTACTCCTCCTGTTCTCTCCTCCTTTCTCTACTTTGTCTACTCACTCGTCCCCCCTCCGACACCTCATACTCCTGGATGAGGTTGGGACAGTTGAGGTTCTCTACTGGTTCCCATGAAGCAGCTTCTTCTGAGTACCCTCTCCACAACACCTTGTACTCTGTAGTCCCATTGTGTGAACGCTTGTCGATGAGTGCTTCGACTTCAAAGTCGAGGTCCTCATCTGGAAGTGATGGTATGGTGGGCTGTTCAGCATGTTGAGGAAGAGAACTTGTTCTTGCTGGCTCGAGCATGGAGACATGGAACACATCATGCACCCTAAGGTTTGCTGGCAATGTGATTTGATAAGCTTGGCGTCCTACCCGTTCCTGAACTGGGTAGGGTCCTGCAAACCGGGTGTCTAACTTGGGTGTGGGTCTCCATGTCTTCCAGTTTCGACGGTTGATATAGACCATATCACCCACCTTAAACTCGATGTCCTTGTGCTTCCTGTTATACTGGTTTACTGATCTATGTTGTGCCTCTCTGATCTGCTCCTGGAGGTACTTGCAACGCTCCTTTCCATCCATGAGGTACTCGAAGTGACCTGGATCATTGACTCCTAGTCGTTGAGGGATGTCAGGATGAGCTTTGGGGTTCCATCCATAGCATGCAAAGAATGGTGAGACACCAATGCTGTTGTGGACCGTGTTGTTGTATACAAAGGCTGCAGTGTCCAGCAGGTTGGCCCAGTCATTCTGCTCATAGTTGCAGTACATCCTGAGGTATTGCTCTATGACCTGATTGACTCTCTCTGTCTGACCATCAGTTTGAGGATGGTAAGCCGTGCTAAGTGAGTGCTTCACACCCATTTGCTCTGCAAATGCCTTCCATGCTCCTGATATGAACTGCCTGCCCTGGTCCGAGACCATGTGATCTGGATATCCGAAGAGTCTAACCATGTGTCCATATAGCAATACTGCAGTCTGTTTGGCTGTGACTGTCTTATGGGTTGGAGCTAGTATGGCAAACTTGGTTAACCTGTCGACAATGACTAGGATAGAGTCATAGGTCTTGGAGTCATACTTCTTTGATGGTGGTAGTCCTTTGATGAAGTCGAGGGATATGGAGCCCCAGGGCCTGTCTGGTGTTGCTAGTGGCTGTAGCAAACCATATGGATGATGACGAGGAGCTTTGTACCTAGCACATACAGGACAACTTGCTACATAGTCTGCAATCCAAGCTGTCATGTTTGGCCACCAGTAATGTTGTTGAGCTGCCTTGATGGTAGCATCTCTTCCTACATGTCCAGCAGTAATACCATCATGGCATTGGGTCATCACCATGAATCACAGATGCTCTACAGAGAGAGACTGTCCATCTACCTCTTTGGCACTCCTTGAGTGTCGGTTGTTGGTCCTCCCTGGCATGATCACTTTGGGGATAACCAACCTTCCTCCACTGTACCATAGGTCGTCCTTGAGTTCGAAGGGCTTCTTCCTATGTATCTCCTGTAGCTCTTGGTCTAAGGGCTGGAAGATCTTGACCAGGTCTCTGAGACCTTTTGATGCTATGGACTCCATCGAGAGCATAGGGGCCACCAGGGTCGAGTCATGGTCTGCTGTCTCCTTGAACACTCGAGGAGGCAGTAGTTGCCTCACATTGTGATCCTGCTCTTCACCAGCTGGTTGCATGTCTGTCCTTCTGGTGAGAGCATCAGGTTCACCACCTTTGTCTCCTGGTCAATACTGCAATATGAAGTCGAAGTCTGCTAGTAGTATTGCCCATCGAGCCTGTCGACCTGTGATGCATCTCTGTGACTTGAAGTACTTGAGGGCTTCATGGTCAGTGAGGATGACCAGTTGGCTCGGTAGTCCAGCTAGCATGTGTCACCACTGAGTGAGGCAGGCGACCACAGCTAGGAGCTCCTTGTCATGGATCTCATAGTTCTTCTCGGCAGAAGACATCTTCCTAGAGTAGAAAGCCACTGGATGCCATCGTCCTTCATGCTCCTGCTTGAGTACTCCTGCTATAGCAAAATCACTTGCATCAGTCTCCAACCTTGTTGGAAGGTGGTAGTCGAAGTGCTGAAGCACTCCTGCTGATGTGAAGGCCTGGATGAGCTTGTGGAAGGCCTGTTGGGCCTCCTCTGGTAGCCCGAACTTCTTGAACCGTTCTATAGGCTTTACCAGTGCTGTCAAGGGCTTGGCTATGCGAGCAAAGTGGGCTATGAACCTTCGATAGAAGTTGGCAAAACCCAGGAACCTCTGGATGTCATGGATTGACTCTGGCATTGGCCACTCCTTGACAGTGCGCACCTTTTCTGGGTCCATCTCTATGCCCGTCAGCTTGATGATGT